GGAAAAGGATAACGTGGCGTGAAAAAATTAGATACACTGAGAATTACCTTAATTTTTTCTACTTTTTTTTTTTTTACGGGGATTAGCCCACCCGGGCACAGGTCACTGACCCAAATCGGGGCCTGGGGGGCGGTAATAATAATAATTCATGGAAAATAAAATTTATAATAAAAAGTAAAATAAAATATTAATGGTAATAATAATAATAACAACACTGATAATAATAATTACAAAGAAATACAGGAATGAAAAAAATCAATATACAGAAACGCTATATGTATGTTGTGTTGTCATGTAAGAGAAACAATTGAGACCCTACAATTGTGTGTAAATGAGACAGAAAGACAGATCAGCAACCTGGGACTTGGTCACAATTTTCGTGATGCCATATGGCAGCAGGGTCTACCATTAGACAACACATTATGCTTCCAGTGTTATTTTTTGGTAGGCAGCGTAAAAACATAGTACTGTACCAAGTAAACCTTCAGCAGTAGGGGGCTGAAATTATCTACAAAGCTGTACGTATATCGAGCAATGGTCCTCCCCACCCTGCTATATGGCTGTGAAACATGGGTCACATACAGGAGGCACCTCAAGGCACTTGAAAACTTTCAACAACGTATTCTACGTCCCATCCTCCGCGTTCACTGGGAAGACAAGAGAACAAATGCCAGTATTCTTGAGACACCAACTGTAGGAGCATCGAGGCTACCATTATCCTTGAACAACTACCCTGGACTGGCCATGTTACCCGCATGGACGACAGTAGACTGCCAAAGCAACTACTTCACAGTCACCTAATGAACAGTAAACGTAACGCCGGCGGGCAATTGAAAAGGTATAAAGATAGTCTTGAGACAAACCTGAAAAAGTACCAAATCGACCCACTCACCTGGGAATCGATTACTCCACATCGTAACGCTTGGAGGAGCACTGCACGAGGTGTCAATGCTTTCGAATTAGCCCGATTGCAAACCGAGGCAGACAAGCGCCAACTCCGGAAAAACGCTGCCACCGCCCCTCCCGCACTAGATGCAGCCCTCCACATGTGCAACGAATGTGAACGACGCTGCGGGTCCCGTATTGGTCTCAATAGTCACCTCAAAACTCACTTACCTAGGTGACATCCCTTATAACTCATATTACTATATCATAGCTGGACGATCGCCATAATCGATTCCGAGAGTGACGGAAAAGTAGTAGTAGTAGTGTGTGTGTGTGTGTGTGTGTGTGTGTGTGTGTGTGTGTGTGTGTGTGTGTGATCCTTGCACTATGATATATGTAACTTTTCAAAGTAATGGGGCCTGAATTGCAGGTGTGACGATTAACTTTTAATTGTTTGTAAGAAGAAAAGAAAACCACAGGAAAAATATTGTGTCATCATTCTTGGAACTGTAATTACACTGGGACTCTGACTTAACTGGATACATTCAGGTAGCGCCAGATAGGAACCATAATGAAGGCAAAGAGTCTTTCTCAAGATTTTAAAAGTTAATTTTGTTTAATTCCAATTTCTATGTGAACTAAATCTCATTTAGGATTAGTTTCACTTTACTCTCGATAGATTTTTGGTACATTATTTTATGTTATTGCTTTAATCTACCTTCAGGTGCATTCTTAAGTCTTCAATTGCCAGAACAATTAATCGTACTAATCTTTGTAAATCTGAACTCAGGATACGAATAGGCTTTTTGTAAGTAATTATTAGGCAGTTAAAGTTACACAGAATTTATATTACATACAACACTGGGACGGGAGGAACCCAGGCGCCGGCCAAGGCAACAGAACACCACTATGTTTACTAAAGTCTTTATCCTCTGTTCACACGTTCGTCTTTTATTAGAATTAGTAATGTGAAGTAGGAGGAGATGGTCTGCCTTCCATTTTCTTGATCTTATTTTAGTCTTAACCAACAGTATTATACCCAGAAATCATATTAAAAAACATGACGATAAGCTCACGACTATGTTCACTAACATTACGACATACCTGCGATCACTTAATTAACCTGATAATGAAGGCAATTAAGAGATGTCAACCCAGGTGACATTCATCAGCAGCAGGAGACAAGGGGTATTAGCGAGATGTCGATTGTTCGTCTTAGTGAGACACGTGTCAGTGGGTGTGATGGATCATAACACTACAACTTTTACGCAGAATTAACGGTGGTTACTTTTTACTGTTTTCTGGAAGCTAGGAATAACATGTTTGTGTCATATATACAGCCAGAACGGGACTTAAAGGTCACACGTCCATGCTTGGGGAGGCAGACATGTTACTCATGGTGTGACCTTAGCCAAAAATGTCATACACAGGAACAGTAATATACATGGGTTCGATTTGTAATATCAAGGCCCCCCCCACCGCTCTCCCCTTACTCTTGGCCACTCATCATCTAAGAAAGAACGCATGGGCGGTGCATGCTTCCTTGTTGGGCGTTGTAAGACTTCTACGCTTCGCCCAATAAGCTATCTTTACGCTGCGTGGGAAGAATCTAAATCAGAATCTGAGCTCTTTACTTGTGTACTAACGCTTAGTATTAAATATGCAGTGCCCACATTGTTTCTAGTGGGGCATCAGACCTATGGGACCAGCTTTCACCAACACAGGAGTCATTTCATTGTCTCTCGATATTTCCAAACAATATATAATACAAAGATTATTGTCTTCTCTGGCAGCGCTGAGAGGGGAAGCAAACATGGCTACTGATTCGGTAACACTGTAAGTCAGCTAAATGCTCGAGGATAATGTATATATTTTCAGTCAACAACCTGTTTACATTTGGACCACACACCGGTATTTCGAACTGCTCCGTGTATTACATCTTATCAATCCTACTCAGTATCGTATACAGAAGCCAGACCAGGTTAGGTGTAGGCAGGTGTGACTTACAGGGAGTTACTCGTACTTCATCCGTGATGAAATAAATTCCGGTATGGTTTCATTAAACTTACTACTACGAATGTCGTAGTTGCCTCAACTCATGTGTACGAGTACGTGTGTGTATCTTTTCAATACTGGACGAAAAGCTCTCTCTCTCTCTCTCTCTCTCTCTCTCTCTCTCTCCAGCAGAGATGATTTATCGTCCTTGTTTGACTTGATCAAATTTTGTATCTCAGTAATGCTGACTCAACTTTACTTGCCAAATGTCCCTTTTATTGTTCATCATTTGAGAAGGAATCATTTGTTACATAATTTTTTAATTTTAAAATTTTCCTGTTCTTGTATACTGCGTAGTTATTTGGTTTACCATGTTAATTCTGACCCCTAATTTCTCTTCAGCCTAATAAAGACTATTGTTGGTGAGTTATATAGGCCTCTTGCATCCTTCTTATATCACAAAAATCTCCAACCAGTCAAATGCTTTATTCCTTTAACCTCTAATTATAACAATTATTGCTATTAGCACCTACTGTACATATGTTTGAATATGGAGTTGAAATAGATACTCAGTGTGTCTGATTTCCACCTTCATATGAATTTCAGTTACGTACACTATCAGTTCCACATATTGTCTTCAGTTAAACACATATATACTTTGTTTTCAAGCATTATGGCCATTCCGTATACAAGCGTTACCGCAAATGTTTCTGTTCTAGTACATGGGACGGGTAGTATGCTATCTTGTTGTTCTGTTTAGTAATATTACAACTTTACGATAAATGTTTTCCTCGCTTCATCTAGACAAGTATCAGAGGAGGTGAATGAGGATGCTATCAAGCTATAATGTCCCTCAGATATCAAGCTAAGATATCAGTTAGTAAGGGAGCTAAAACCAAAGAATAACAAGGTAACTTAGTCTTGAAGTTAGTGGAGAAAGGTGTGAATTAGAAAGCTTACATTCTGTTCAGACACAAAGTTAAAGAAAAAAGTTTACTCAAATACGAACGAAAATAAAGAAAAACATTTACTTAAACACAGAGCTGCGGAAATGAGAGAGAGAGAGAGAGAGAGAGAGAGAGAGTGTTAGGTGTCTGCTTGCGATCGTGCCAACAAGGTGTAGACCCCCCTTCCCCCTTCCCCCCACATGCACGCTCCATCCATGCTCTCTGATTCTCGTGTCCTAAAATTAAATACCTTCACACGAGACTGTACGAGGTTCAAAAGGTTTCAGACCAGGGATTCAGCCTAGAGTTTGTCACACCATTTTTTGTTGGTTCCGGCTGGTGTATGTGGGTGTGTGTGTGTGTGTGTTTTTCTGTTTGTTTGTTTGTTTTCATGTAAAGATGGTACGGGAAGAAAAATTGTGAGAGAGAGAGAGAGAGAGAGAGAGAGAGAGAGAGAGAGAGAGAGAGAGAGAGATAGAGAGAGAGAGGAAAAATATAAATATTGGCAGGCTTTAAATAACCAGAAATTAAAATCAATAGACAAATAAATATAAGTACACAGACTGACAGACTCACAGACCCTCCTCCCCAAAAAATCATAAGGTTAATGATACGGCAACAGTGAATTAATAGGCTGAGAAACACACTGACGGAAAGACAAGCCCACAGACAATTAACACTGAAGTCTACCAAGTTGCATTTAATAATCTCCTTCGTGATATTTCAAGGTTATATGTGTGTGTGTGTGTGTGTGTGTGTGTGTGTGTGCCCAAATGTGCCACAGTTTACCATAATTGAGCGGGAAAAAACGAGTTAACTGCCAGGACAATCGACAGTAACGTCAAGCCCAACACCAGTATTGGTCGTGGATGGTAGACAATTGGTCAACAGATTTAGCTAACGATTTTCGGGGATGCACAGTACACATTGAGCACCTGGGCTGTTGTACCAATAGAACAGTGGGTAGGTTATTATCATAGTGACATCCTTATACCTTTGGTTTGGGGACTAGATCTCACAGTTCTGACAGTCTTAAGAGCTGTTTTTACCAATCCTCCACTGTTATTATCAATGTACATGTTATTTTAATTAGGTGCAAATCAAATGACGAAAAACACACACAAACGAAGTCTGTCATTACAGATATATTAAAATATTATTTCTACATCCGAAATAATAATTCATTATCTCTTGCTCGTCTTTATTAAACAGTCATTACACACCTTCTCTATTTTAATACCTAATTTTGCTGTAATTAAATGACCTTTGACACAGCATAGACAATTTGTGGTTAAATATCAATTTTGAATATACGAACATAAATAAGTTCATTCATAGAAGCAACATTAGACGTATAAAAAGTCATATAAATGCCAGAGGAAGAATCACGTCACAGGAGTAATACCTTGTGAATACTTAATGCAACTTAAGAAGTGAAAACTCGAAGAGAAAAAATAACTTGAAACTTATGAGCGAAGTGGCGAATGCTTTCATAAGAATGTAAAATTAATTCTCTAAAATAATAAACAAAATTGTAAAGTGTTTTAAAGTAGAAGTGAAATGGGGTTTATAGAACATTACACAGAATTTGGAAATTAAGCTTCAGGTTCTATACGTTATTTTATGTATGATATAAGGGGAACAGACACAGCTTGGGAACCGGAGGCAACACAGTATCACGCTTCCCAAAACACGATGTAAAGCTGCATATTCCGCCCCGTATTACAGCCATGATTGTGGTGTATGAGAAATAAATATGGTAGTTGTTTATTTTGCACTTGTACCATTATCGTCACCTCTCAAGAAAGGGGACAAGAGCCACCTGGTACCTCTCAGAAAGGGACATTGTTATAATAGAAGACGTGTCCAACATATTGATTGCCCTTATTTTCTCCTGGTAGAAATATCTTTCCTCTTTATTTCCATCTTTTCCTTCACCCTCACCACCATCTGTGCCTCACCACCATCTGTGCCTCACCACCATCTGTGCCTCACCACCATCTGTGCCTCACCACCATCTGCGCCTTCACCCTCACCACCACTTGCGCCGCCTGCTCTCACTGGCAGACGACGGTGTGGATGGAGCGAGGCCCTACCGTGATGAACATGGTGCCTCTGTCATCCACCTTCACCGCCAACTGCTTCTCGTCACTCGCCCTGCAACACACACACTTCCCTCAGGTTCTTGTAAGATGAAGATAAAGATGAAAGATATGTAAGAGAATAGATGATAATTATGGAAACATTAAACAAGAAAGTTAAAATGTGTGTGTGTGTGTGTGTGTGTGTGTGTGTGTGTGTGTGTGTCCAGTCCAGTTAAGCCTTAGAATGCAAATGGTGGTTTTGTCAATAAGAATTATGCTGGAATTCATTGCTATAACTAACTGAAAATTAGTTTTTATGGCGTAAATTGGATCCTGTTTCATTTTAGAATTCATTCACCATCACACCATAAGATAACTTTGATTAGTAATGATGATATTCAACCACAGTCTACATAATGGCTATCTACATGATCACCCCTACATATACTGTAGACCAGTTGAACTTTCTTGTCATCATTCTCTCTCTCTCTCTCTCTCTCTCTCTCTCTCTCTCTCTCTCTCTCTCTCTCTCTCTCTCTCTCTCTCTCTCTCTCTCCATATATTACCCCAGGCCCTCAGATCACTACCACGGACGGACCGGCCACAATAAAATAATTAAGGTTATGGCCACCTGTACTCAGTCCCCGCTAGAGTGCCATATTTAATCCGGTCAAGAAAATTACTCATGAGAAATAGAGTACGATAATATTTTAAACATCTGCTAAATATAAGTAAAATCTAAAGTAATTTATACAATGTCTGTCAGAGGAATTTCTCGGGAGAAAAAAATAAATCTGAAATTGGTATCTTACTGTGAATATATAGATATATTTTGGCAGGTTGTAGATATTTGACGAAAAAAAAAGTCGAAAATAAGAAATGCTTCTAAACAAATTTGCAATCATCGAAATCAATAAGATTTTTAACCTTTGTTGATAGATAAATCGAGGTACCCGTTCATATCTGAGTGAACTAGGGAGAGAACCACCTAACTTTAGTACAGGAGACGACAGCTATATCTACCCATGTTACCTCGCCTCAAACGCCACTTTTCATCATAATCGAATGACTTGTTTTTCAGTGTGAGATTTGCATTGTACGTGTGTGTTTGTTTATTTTATCTGTGTATAATATGTGCCTCAAGGAGTTTCGGCAACGGTCAGTGGTACTCTAAGGTAAAAGATCTCTGTGGTCTTAACCGTCAGTCTTCCACATTTCCTTTTATCTCTTATTTACCTAGTGAGGAGGCAGCTGAGACAATTAATAACCACTTTACTACCATATGTCATACCCTACCCAGTCTTGACCTCACTCTCCTCCCGGCCTACTTACCTTACCCCTCACCCCCTCCTAGTGTTCAACCATTTGAAATTGCCAACAAACTCCTGAAATTTAAACCCAAACGCTCTACAACCCCAATTGACCTCCCAATCAAAATTTACAAGGAGTTTGCAGTCGAACTTGCCACCCCCCCTCTGTTCCAATATTAATGCATCCCTCAGACAAAGCAAATGCCTTTATGAATGGAAAACCGCATTTTTCCCCCCTATCCCCAAGGTCCCCATCCCACAGTACCCTAGTGACCTCAGGCCAGTTGCCATCACCCCCATACCCAGTCTACTCTGTGAAGACTTTGTTTTTGAATGGGCATTTGCTGGTATTTATCAGTCAATTGATTCACAGCAATTTGGCAATATGAAGACCTCCTCTACAACACACTACTTAGTCAATTTCCTGAATTTTATGCACCAAACCCTGGAGAAACGTAAGACATTGCTGGCCGTTGCCCTTGTTGACTTCAGAAGGGTTTTTGACCTTGTTGATCACTGCACTGTTATCAACAAGGCCATTGCACTAGGGCTGCCCACCAACTTGGTCTCATGGCTCACTGATTTCCTGAGTGAGCGTCGTCAGGCAGTGAGGTACCAGGGTTCTGCCTCCACATTCCAACACCTCACCTGCGGTGTTCCCCAGGGGACCAGGATGGCACCACTGTGATTCCTAGTCCTGATTAACGACGCCCTATCGGACACTCATCACAGGTGGAAGTACTTGGATGACTGCACTGTGAGGGTTACAGTGGACAACACCTCACCAGACTACTCATCGCTACAAGGCACCCTGGACAGGCTACAGTCATGGACTACGGAGAATAAGGTCAACATCAATCACACCAAAACCGTAGTCATGCACATCAACACCGCCACCACTCCAGTGCAAGCTCCAGCAGTTACAGTGGGTGCCCATCCTCTCCAGTTAGTGCCCATACTCTCAAGTTAGTGCAGTCTGCCAAACTCCTGGGTGTAACTATACACCACAAACTGGACTGGAAGGCCCATGTAAACAACACTATTAAGGCAGCCTTGTACGGACTCTACATGCTATGACGACTCAGGTCACTTGGGGCACCCACACGTCACCAGCCTGGTCGTCTTCTCTCAACTCTACCCAACAACGTCAGCTGGAGAAGGTACAGAAGAGGGCCTGCAGAATCATGCTCGGGGCAGACTACTCCGGCTACAACAACACTCTCTCCACCCTAGAAATGCCATCCCTCAGTGACCTCCACCTCCATGCACTAGCAAGGTTTGGTTGTGGACTACTGCACCATCCTCGTCATCGCCACCTACTACCACCTGCAGTACCCCGCCCACCTCGCACAGTCCGCCACTACAACAAAATTCAGCCCATAAGAGCCCGCACTGATAGATATAAGAATAGCACCATCCCATCTATTGTTAGAATAATAAATAGCTCCTGATTTATGTACTGTACAGCCCTGTAAATGTCTTGGCAAGGCCATCTGCTGCCTCATTCACTAAGATACCTACATGACTGGGTATCCATAGGAATGTCACAGGACGGCCTGCATCCTGAAGTGTGGATTTTAACCCTCGTATTCGGAGGATGAGGTCCTTATTTTCCCCTGATCCAAATGCGAACCCGTCGAGAGCAGACCTAAAATCGCAGCAGACAAGCAAGGGGCAGAAACCATCTGCATCTTCCTGCCAGCCTGCCTGTTCACCTCCACCATCTCATTAGACAGTGTAGAATAGTAAACACATCCTCATACTACGTTATCCGTCACTTGGAGTGGGATGGCGACCAGTTTCACCTTCTATCCCATCTACCACGATCAACAACACCTACCATCCCATCTGCCAACAACAATACCTGCTACCTCACCTTGCCAAAATCACCAATACCTGCCACCTTACCTTGCCAACACCACTAATATCTGCCACCTCACCTTGCCAACAACAACACCTACCATCCTACCTTGCCAGCACCACCAATACCCACCACCAGACCTTGCCAACACCATCAACACCTACCATCCTACCTTGTCAACACCACCAACACCTGACACCTTACCTTCACAAGCCTCGGTGCTCAAGATGAAGTAATCAGGGAATAAGTCGTGGGTCTCCTGCAGAAGGCTCGCCGGGGCGTAGTCGTCGCCGTACCAGTGAACAGCGAAGCCGTTCACGTATTGGGCCGCCACAGTGTCGTTCAGCACCTGTCATGGAGGAGGAGGAAGAGGAGGGGGGAGGGAGTGTAATGTAATAAAGGTCAGATAAAAAATTCTAGTTACGAGAGGTAATTGCACGAACTTTGATTTTGTGTGTGTGTGTGTGTGTGTGTGTGTGAGGTATTTCTCTCTCTCTCTCTCTCTCTCTCTCTCTCTCTCTCTCTCCATTCATCCAGCCTTCCCATCACAGCAAAGATTCACCCTCCTCATAATTATGCATCAACTATCACCAAACTCATCAAAAAACATAGACTCCGCTAAAAACTGTATCCTGGAGTTCTCGTCGCGACTGTGCGCTTTGCTACTCCTATACGTCAAGGGAGGAAGGAGAGTGAAAAAAGTGGAGCCCAAGATTCATTCATAGGCTCCACTAGGCTCCACAAACTAATCAAACAAATAATGGGAATTTTGCGGTAGATTTGCATATGATATTAAAATCCATAATTATTAATTTAGTTTTCTTTTTTTCTTTTTTCTTAGATATCTCCCTTCCTTTTGTTATCAAGTTAGGTTAGGTTAGGTTAGGTTAGGATAGGATCAGATGACATGTGACTAGGAGAGAGACTTGGTTGCTACGTTGAAATTCCCTTTATCCTTCAGTTCGAAATATCTTATTAAAGAAAACAAAATACTCGTGACTCGGAGCATCGTGCCTGGTTCTCACCTATGAAAACGTTAAGGTAGACTTAATTAGAGTTCAACTCTCCCCCCTGAATTCACTTATTCTATATAACATTTTAAATTAGTTTTACACCACACCACCTCCACCATTCCGTTTCTAGCGGTCGCGAGAAGCACAATGGGGTTACTCTGTTACCTTGTTTGGTTGGTTGTCAGGCGACATGTCGGGCGGTGTACAGTACGTTTAATTCATTTCTTTGTAAATCAATCCCATTGGGATTCACCTCTTGTTTGTTTTTTCCATTAACCTAACCTCCCCTGAATTCACTTCCAGTTGACTTCACTTTCCCTTGACCTCAACCTCCATTAACCTTACATTCCTTCACCTCGCCTCATGACTTTTAGCCTTACCTCCTTCAGAAAACCAATCTTTCCTTTACCACCACCACTTCCACCCAACCACTTTAACCTAACTTACCCATGACCAATCCTTTCTTCATTCCACCTTAACCTAATTTACCCATGACCTTCTTCCCCCTACCACCACCCAACCACCTTAACCTCACTTGCCCAAAACTAATCGCTCCTTCACCACCCACACCCCACCACCTTCACTCTTCCTTGACTTCTCATGAACCCACTTTCTTCGCCCACCTCGGCAGTTCATACCGTTGGTCATCGAGTATCATGAGGATTACATCGTCGTTGCCATGGGCCTTGAGAGTCGGTCCAAGGTTCTCAGCAACCCACAATCGCTGCTGCTCCGCCGTCCACCCCATACAATTGAAATAGAATCCTGGAACGTATCCGTCAATGGGCTCGTTCTGTGCCGTAACACCCCAAAAGTTGACGCCTTCTTCCCCATATCTGTCCAGAAACCTGAAAGGGGAACACCAGAGAGCTAATAGATCAGAGATATAGCCGTCGTAAAGGACCAAAACAAAAGTAAGAAACAAGATCAGAAATATTTGAAGAAAGACAGAAACGTTAGAAGAAAAAAAAAACAGAAACGTGAAGAAAATCCCACAAACTTAAAGAAGAAAAGAAAACAGACGAGGAAGCTTAAAACCTAAAACAAAAAAAGATAAAAAATAATACTAAACAGGACGAAAGATAATGAAACAAACATTAATAAGAAATAATAACATCTAAGAGGAAAGGAGAAAACTAAAGCAGATAAACACTTAGGGACATTGTTTCAGACAGTGGCAGAACCAGGAATATTGGTGCAGCTCAAGTGGCAGACCTTCAAACACTCTTGTCAACATTAGCTTCTTAATAGTTATATAGGTATAAAGAAAATGGCGTAGGCGACTTTAGATAGGGTGAGAGAGACAGAGGATTATATGGATAGAGTGAGAGACAGAGAGTTACATTAGACGAAGATAAAGCGATCGACATAGAAGATTATATAGATGAAAAGTGAGAGAGAGATGAAGACTTATAACGAAATAAATAAATCAAGAGATACACATAGAGGGAGGATGAAGAAAACGAGATAAACAAAACACGGCAGGGAGAAAGAAAGGTGGAAACAGAAGGGAGATGAAGAGACAGACACACACACAGACACATGGGAAAGAGAAAGAAAGAGAGAGAGAGAGAGAGAGAGAGAGAGAGAGAGAGAGAGAGAGAGAGAGAGAGAGAGCGAGCAGTAGGAGGACCCACTTGACGAAGTAGTTGGCCCAGGGCTGGTACATTTCTGGCAGCAGCTGGCCGTAGCCCACGTAGTCATTATTGGTCTTCATCCAGGGAGGCGCTGTCCAGGGGGAGGCAAATAGCTTCAGTGGCTGGGCGGCCATAGCCTAAGCTCGTTTGATTATTGGGATCTGTGGGAGGATACAAAATACAACTGTTTAACCCTTTGATGATGAAAAGCCTACAATTTATTTTCGTTAAAGGGTTTAGTTTATCCTCTTGAAAGGATTAAGTCATCGTCCTCAAAAGGTTTAGTCTTCGTCCTTAAAAGATTAAGTCATCGTCCTCAATTGTTAAGTCATCGTCCTCAAAGGTTAAGTCATCGTCCTCAAGGTTAAGTCATCGTCCTCAAAAGATTAAGTCATCATCCTCAAACGTTAAGTCATCGTCCTCAAAAGTTAAGTCATCGTCCTCAAAAGGTTAAGTCATCGTCCTCAAAAGGTTAAGTCATCATCTCCAAATAGTTAATTCATCGTTCTCAAAAGGTTAAGTCGTCGTCCTCAAAGGTTAAGTCATCGTCCTCAAATGGTTAAGTCAGCGTCCTCAAAAGATTAAGTCAACGTTTCCAAAGGGTTAAGTCATCCTCCTTAAAAGGTTGTCATCATCCTCAAAAGGTTAATTCATCGTCCTCAAAAGATGAAGACATCGTCCTCAAAGGTTTAGTGATCGTCCGAAACAGGTTAAGTCATCGTCCTCAAAGGGTTAATTCGTCATCACTTACAGTATGTGTTTACCACCGTGATGTCTTACTCAGTGATGGTGACTGGGATCGTGTATAGAACATTTCCCAGCGCTGAACACAACATTTGACGAACAGAAGCAAACCACAAAACCTTAACGAGGGATAGTGTTTGTATCTACCTATACGCTTATATGTATGTCTCTCTCTACCATTCATCATCACTGGCATTTTTAGGTTTCTATCGGATGAAAGTTAAACTGTTCCCATTTCAAATTGAGCCCCATTCAAATTGGCTCTAATTCCATATGGACACTATTCTAAATGTTCCCAAAACTAAAGGAGCTATGTTTTTATTTTTTATTTCTTAGAATATAAGAAATTAAATATGACAAAATACAATATAAGACAATCTTTTCATCCAAATTATTTAAAGTCTCCAAAAATCATGGCCTAACAAACTAAAGAAAACATTTGAGATAAATATAGATAACAACTATCTTCCTTATCACCCTAACTTGTACTGAGGCACTATTTCACCTTATACTCGATGTCCTCTGGCTGGAGGGCAAAAGCTTCTAGGTCCACATCTCCCGAGGTATCACAATAAGTATAGGTCCTCCACGAGAAGTCACAGCCGCCCATGTTTACTCTTCTGAGGTTGTACTCAATGCCCGAGGACGAGAAGTACGATATGTAGGGGGGGGGGGGTGAACATAGTGAGGAATTAGCCTGGATAAGTAGATAAATAAGGTAGAAGGACATGAAGAGAGGGTTGAGGAGTTAGGGAGGGGGAAATTGTAGAGGAAAGAGGGAGATAGGAAAGGGAAGATAAAAATAGAGAGAAGTTAGAGAAGGGGGGAAGTATGAGGATAGAAGGAAAAGAGAAAGAGAAAATGAAAGCAGAACGAGACATAGAGAAAAAGAGAACAAGTAAACGATGTATGTGAGGTGAGTCGAAATATGAGATTGAGACAGAGAATTAATGGAAGGGTTGTTGTGCTAGTGGGAGAGGAAGGAAGAGGAGGATAGGACAGGGAATGAGAGAGGTGAGAGGTCGAGAGAGGAAAGTCAACGAGGCTTGTAGTGTAAGGAGAGGGTTGGGAGGAGGGCAGGATAGTGAGTGGTGAGAGTGAGGGAAGTGAGCGAGGGTGAGGGAATAAGTGAGAGTAGAAGGGAGGATGAGTATAAGAACGATGGGTAAATATGCAGGGAGGAAAGTAAGTAGGAAAGTAGATCGTTAAGGAGGTAGGTAGGTTAGAAAGAAGGCAGGTAAGGAGGCAGGGGAGTAGAAAGAGAAGTAGCTAGATCGAGAGATAAAGAGGGAAGTAGGTTGGCAGGACAGTAGATAAGGAGCTACAGTACGTTGGGGGGTATGGAGAAAGGCAAGGAAGTAAAAGAGGAAGAAGGTAAGGTCAGGCAGGTAGAGGAAGCGAACACAGCGATGTGATTGGGAGTGGCAGAGAAGTGAGTGACAGATGAAGGCTGAGAAACGGAGGAGAGGTGAGTGGCAGGGGAAGCTTGAGAGACAGAGGAGAGGTGAGTGACAGGGGAAGGCTGAGAGACGGAGGCGAGGTGAGTGACGGGATGCTTGAGAGACGGAGGAGAGGTGAGTGGCAGGGGAAGGCTGAGAGACAGAGGAGAGGTGAGTGGCAGAGGGTGAGGGAAGAATCACTGTCTCAATACATTAGCTGGGTGTACAAATGTACTCCTATAGTTACCATGTACCACACTAGGGGCGGTAAGTGCCTGGCCTGGGATATAGATAGGGGGATTAAGTAGGGCAGGCCAGGTAGGACGCCGATGAGCGGGACGGGGAAACAATTCAGTGATCAGCGTCTTACTTTAAGCAGAAGTTGTTCTGAACACAAAATAAATGAACACAATCAATATGAAAGTGTTGCCTCACTAGCGTCGCCAACACACCGTGTTCAACGCCACATCTTTAAGATAAATACAGTGTTCGTTAAGTCCGTTAATATACGTAATTATTAGCTCCATCATACAGTGTATTTATTTTGCCCAGTTTTAACGTTGTTTCTGGTGACATTTAGAAAAGTTTCATAAAATAAAGTCAAAATTAAAGAATTTTGTAGATGATGTCTTCCTAAAATTATCCGAAAAATAAATAACAAACAAAACCTGCAATATTAAAAACAAATTAATGTATAGTATTATGAAAAGTTACTCCCGTCCCGGAAAATGTATATCGAGGAAAATCCAACCACAAGAATAAAGATAAAGAAGCCCGGCATAGAAATACCTAGACAGTAAGATACACAGCCCTAGAAGACACGTGAACAAGCGGGACAGAAGACATCTCTTGGAAGAAACGTGGACTGGTGTGCAAGGAACACTACCCTTAGACATACCCAAAAACAGAAGTAGATGAACTGGTCAGTCTCAGACGTCACTCACCTGAGAAGAAGGTTCTGAGCAGGTTCAGAGAGGCCGAGGATGGTGGCAGCAGCGGCGTCGGTGAAGGCACCTCCCCAACCTATAACCTTCTGGTAGGTAACCGTAAAGTCCAGCACGTACTGCACTTCCACCTCTCCTGACACACCTGATCGACAGAGAAGCAGTCATGTGATCTCAAAATGCCCCGCCATTCGAGTATATCATTGTAATAACACTTCACCATAAGGAGAAAAAACTGAATTAGTAGTAATTATTGTTGTTGGATGCGCAAACTACTCCAGTCATCATAGTTCTCAGCTAAGCAGATGAGTTACTTAAAGGATTATTGATCTCATGTCAGGGATCAAGTCTTGTATGTTTGATAAGAATTCCTGGTTATATTTATGCTAATTTTCATATACAGAAGGAAGGGGAGTGAAAGAAAGACGAACAATAATGCTAATGAATGTAATATATGGACGAGGAAAACTAAATGTTCTGTGAAAGTTAATTAAGCAAAGGAGGGGAAAAATTAGCTAAGGAATTACGTGAGAGAGAAGCCAGTGAAATAGGGATTAATGACAGTGAATTTAACATACAGGAAACATATCAATGAATGAATGACGTATATATACTCGTTATCAATGTCTTAGAAGGAAGTGGATACAATGAAAAAGATTATAATTAATAATGAATTTCACATATGACAATGAAAACTGTTGAATATGAATGACAAACAATGATAAATAATCGACGTGGAAAGGAGAAAGTCAGTGCACAATCAATTTAATGACGAACGGAGAAGGAAACATTTAAACACGACACTACGCAGAGACAACACATGATCCAACAATACCATACACCATATACCACCATACATCATACATCACCAGACATCATACAACACCATACATCATACATCACCATACATCATACACTGCCATACACCTACTCCACCATACACCCACACTACGATACGCACATACTACGATACACCCACACTACGATACACCATCACCACCATACACCAACACCATCATACATCAACTTAACCATACACCAACATAACCATACACCATCAACACCATTAACTCTTCACTATCCTGGGACTCTGTGAAGGCACCCTGGGTTTGAAGGAACCTGCTGGAGGCGAGATCAGAGGTGTAGACGAAGTATTCTTCTGAAGATGGGGGAGCTGGGGTGGGTAAGGTGTCGCAGTAGGTGGCATTGCACACACACACGAAAGAGGTGCCGTCAAAAATTCGAGGGACACAGGGTAGTTGTTCCTCAGCTGCCACGCCCTCACCTAAGGACGAGAGGGGAGGTGGGGTAATGTTGGTGAGGCAGGAGCGCAAGCTGCAACCACACATCTTGGCTCTCCCTTTTCCTGATCCAGTGGTGCAAGTGTTGCAACGGCTGGGGAAAGAGAGAGATGCAATTGACTACCGATAGCCCAGTTTGTTGGGCTTTGCATTAGTAGCCTGTTCATCAGGCATCGCCTTCGTCCGCCGGTGTAGTCGTTGGGTTTCCACGGTGGTCACCTCTTCCGCCTATACCTCCGTTGGCGTCTTGTTGGAGCTCTATAAGCATGTCTGCCTGATGCGGGGCTAAACCGAAGATTTTTCGTTTTGGGTTTACTCCCGTAGCCTTACAACTCTCAAGGTCAATCCCGAGGCAACGGGGCAATGGTTGGTAGGCGTCAGAACGTGTCTACATGCCAGTGGGCTATGCGCCATCCCTCTGGGGCCCACTGCTACTCCGAGATCTCCTGCTGGTCTTGTCAGGGCCCATGGGGCACCTAGTTACCGTGTGTTACCACGAGGAGGCACAGCAGGAGTCTTGATGGTGAGGAGACTGTGTACTGACAGGGGAAGGTTTATGCAAGCTGCTTCCCTGTTCGCCACGAGGGCTAGTCAACGGCGGCAGCTGAGAGCAAGAGAGCAACACACACACACACGCACACACACACACACACACACACACACACACACACACACACACACACACACACACACACACACACACACACACTCACTCACTCACGCTTTCACTTACTCACTCACTCAGTTGAAGTGTACAGTTTTGGGTCAGCGGTGAGGGCCACTAAATCATATGTTAACTAGTAGTGAGTGATGGCGTCCCGTGCTCTTTTTGTGGATGATACCGTGTTGCTGCTGGCGGTGATACTGACATGGTGGCAATGGTGGTGGTTTTGGTGAGGGTGGTGGTGGTGTTAACATGATGGGACACACACACACACACTCACAATCACTTTTCATGGCCTGTGTCCTGGCGTCATAGTTAACATGCCCACGACACTCAACCAGAGAACTCGAATACAGCCACACAATTCCAGTCAGTTATATGGATATGAAACAATTCGCTTCTCACTCTACCTGGATTATACCTGACTCTGCCACACACCTGCTGACCCTCCTCCCAAATCCAATTACTACTCGGGAGGTGAAGCTAGTGGTCGTATGCTGAATATTTAGGGACTATTATAATTATATAGTCTGTATTTGGGGGCATCATAACGGAGCTGCGTGTACATGTTAACCGCGTGACTTTAAAGTGAACCATAGCTATGTGATTATATTGGAGCTCAGTACCAGGAACATGTTATATCTTGGTAAGAGAGTTTTGATATAATAATAGATTATATTTAATATTAACTCAATACTAATGACTATATTACGCTACAAGAGAATATCGTGAGTAGATATTGAATGGTTGGGATATTTTGTGTTTCCCTTACTAAACTTGTGACGAGAGAACACATTTAGTATCGACAGTCTCAGTGTATTTTAAACCCCGATCTTGGCTGTTATCTCTGCCTGTATGTGAAGCAGATGGGTGCCTTTTCACAATGGTTATAAGAACCAAATATTATGTAGAACCATAGGAAAACCATACCAAGATTAAAATACACTGCCATTTAAAGTGTAAATAGAGACTTATCGTTTGAGTTAAAATATGACATAATCGGGAAAATATATCTCGTGAATTGTCTCTGAATATTGTTGAGTTTTTTCAGTATGTTTGGGGAAGTTGTATTTACCATTTACGGTTTAACATTCTTTATCTTTTCACTTATTGACCCCTTAACTATTGTAAGCATATTGTATCTTAACAGTGTATCAGACCCGTGTAGTCAATAACACCTGTAATCTAGCACACCTGTCCTTTACCGTACCTGTACCGCACCTATACTCCTAAACACTAAACATCCTTTGCACATGTAAACATTGTAACACGAATAATCCCCCCCCCCCCAAAAAAAAAATAAAAAAAATAAATAATGTATTCTGTAACACCTGTATTTGTAGCAACTGTAATACTCAACATTTTATTCTGTGACATTTGTAACTCCCGATACCGGTACTCAACATCACCACTCATATGTAACACCTGCCTTCCATAACACCTGTTCAACACTTACCGTAGCAGTAGAGGAGCAGCAACACCAGCTGATAGAAGTTCGTCATAACAGTAGTATGTTACCGGACGGGTGTTAGTACATGTGACTAGTAGGTACAGCGATGTGAAGTTAGGGTGTGATTAGGGTGTGGGAGTGAGGGTAAGGGTGTGGGGGTGAGGGTGTGGAAACGAGGGTGTGTGAGTTGGGGGAGGGTGTGGGGGTGTGGTTAGGATGTGTGGGTGATGCTGAGTGTGAGGGTTTGAGGATGAGTGTGTCTCGTCCTGTGAGAGGAGAATAAGGACAGGCAGAGAAGGTGTATGGTGTTACTTGGCCGAGTTAGATGTTACTTGGCCGTGTTAGATGTTACTTATGGAGTGCGTACACGTCTCCGCAACGAGGGGCTGTAGAATGTACGTGACGTCTCGGTTAAAACTGTAGTCGCAGTTGAGAGTGTATTTACCGAGAACAGCACGCGTAGGTATTATCGGTGAGGTTTAAGGCAGGTGTGTGTGTGTGTGTGTGGCTCAGGTCAGGTACATAGTCTTACCCAGCTTGGCAACATGTTATTTATGGGTACCAGCTGGAGGCTTCTCAGGGTGATAAATATAGATAAAAAATACTCTTGCATTTATGTTATCTTTCGCCTGGATGTAGCTTTTTTTTTGCCAGTGATGGTAAAGAAAAATCTACATAATATTCTCCCTAACACCCATTAGTAATGTCTCTTACGCCCACCAAGACTGTATCGTTCTCCCACTTAACATTTAGCCTCGCTCATGTTTTTTTCCAGTCTTGCTCAGTCGTTTTTATATCCACAGTGAATTTTGTCCAACTTGGTCTTTTTCTCTTAGGCCAGACATATATCTCTGAGTATTGTTTTTCCGCACGTCTTGCCATCACTCAGGAGTGTTGATTAACTCTCAGAGCGATGTATTACTGTCAAACACTGGGAGTCTCTGATCTGTAGTGTGTTGCTAATTGTTGAACCAATAAAGCACTTACAATTTGGACGAATCTTAAAAAAGAAATACTTGAATATCAAATATTTGATAAACTCTACAAAACTAAAATATTCTGTCATCCTCCATGGAAAAAAATGGGGGTTCCCTTGCCTGAAAATTCAACCTTATTCAGCAAATACGGTTCACGGAGACGTGGGACGCCTATTACTGAGTAATCAAACTTTAGATTAGATTAATTTGGCCTCATATGTTGTTTGTGTTGCTCGCCTGAGGCAGAGTTATGGCAGTATACATTGTAGAGTATAAGATTCGTTTATATGTTGCGTCTAGGCGAGGGTGAATACAGTATTATGGAACTGTAAATTATAAAATAGATTTAGATATACACATTGTTCATAGATTAATATACTTCAGCACTAAGATATATATATATATATATATATATATATATATATATATATATATATATATATATATATATATATATATATATATATATATATATATATATATATATATATATATATATATATATATGCTGATAACCACAAGGAAAGTAGAAAACACGAAGTTCCCAAGCGCTTTCGTGTAATTCACATCTTCAGGGGTGAGTACAGACTGGCCTTGTGGTTATCAGCATATACCTAAATCACGCGCACCTACAGTGATTTACTTGCATATATATATATATATATAATCCTCATCTCTCACAATATATCATCTACCCACATAAGCACCAGAAAATATTCATAAAGCAGAACGAGGTATAAAGTCGAGGAGGGAGGGAAGGTGATCTGCTCCCAAAAAGACAGACAGCTGTCGTTATAATGTTATAGCTGCACCTTAACAATTGAGGACCTTCAGCGAGTAACGAGGTTAGTAATACACTATACACTAGTCAACAATATTAGACAATTATTAAATAGCACTGGGTTTTTTTTGGACAGACAGAGAGTGGGGTATTTAGTCTTTAGTTGTTTTTATACCTGTTGTATGTGTCATTATAGTTAATGTGTGCTTCGTTGCCGCTTATATGCCCTTCTTAGTCAGTCCTGTTTTTTTATCACGTGTTACATACTGTATATAATATATAATCATATATACTCGTGTGTATGTGTCCGTGTGAAAACATCAATACAACACAGCATTTATGTTGGCAGTGAAAACGTCATTGGATCATAAACTTAACAATATCACCATTACAAGACAAATCATTTCATAATGCCTATAACAGCTTGGTGATAAATCATAGAAAATGGTCAAAAATTTTAGTTACAGAAAACGTATATTCGTCAGGCCCATTATGAGGATGACTCGTGTAAATTATATTTACTTTTATCCTCTTCGCCACTGATCGGCTTGTTAGCCGCTTGGGCGTATATTTACAGTTTGGCGCGTAATCAGGTTGTAGATTAGTTGTTTAAACTAATATTTTCCCATTGCCTTTTTCATCTGTGGGTCAAATATTATTGTGTTAAGTATTGTGCTGATATATTTGTCCATAAAGCTGCTCTCTCAAGCATAATATTTCAAATAGAAAATCGACAAGGACCATGAAAGACAAAAACAGGGGATTAGCTTAACCTTTAGATCTCTTGGGTTAAGTTTGTCTTAAAGAGTTTGCACTAAATATTTATATAATTTTAAAAATAATACACACGAATTAATAAATAAGCACAAGCAATGAACTTAGTTTACCTATTGCTAATTTTAGCAGGGAGTTTTATTGTATTGCATGCACTTTATAAAACCATTCTTCAAACCCATACGGTTGATTGTTATTTTCTTCTCTTCTATTCTTGTGTATATGTTTCACGAATCTTCCTCAAAGAGATATTTAACGGATGCAAATAAGAATACAAAAATGCACAGTTTATGTCTTAAATCCAGTTTTCCCTCAGTTCACGCCTGTTAGATGTTTCTTTGAAGTAAAGAAGGTTACAAAAAATACACATATTGTACTTGAAATCCAGTTTAGTATGATTAAGTACATTCTAAAAGCAGTTACATAAAATATATGAATAACAACATTTTTTTTTACTTTTGGAATGGAAGATATATTTATTTTCTGCAGTTAAGGGAGATAGTTTACTGATAACATGTGTACTGGGTCACCTCTACGATGAATAAAAATCATCTGTCGGTAACACAGAAGATATCTAACGTGGCGTCCCCGTAGTGAAGGAGTTAAGGAAGCTGGTACAGATCTTTCTACTCCATGAAGCTAATATGTCATAACTTCTCTTGTGTAAAGTTAATGCACGATAAACCCCGTGCCCTGATGTTAAGGGATAATGATTACTGACACAGTGAGATAATTATTGCCTGTAGTGATGTTGGATGTGTTACGGGGAAAGTCAGAGATCAGTCTATTGTACTTTCTATATCTTGTTTTCCTGAAATATAACTTATAGAATTTAATATTAGGGTTCAGAAGTTTTTAGTACTTTCCATTGTGAATTTGATTTTTCTACTGATATTATAAGACAGTTACATTCAATCCTTAGTGTTAGTGAATGTTGGTGTCAGTCCTTAGTGAATAATGGTGTCAGTCCTTAGTGAATGTTGGTGTCAGTCCTTAGTGAATGTTGGTGCCAGTCCTTAGCGAATAATGGTGTCAGTCCTTAGTGAATGTTGGTGCCAGTCCTTAGTGAATGTTGGTGTCAGTTCTTATTGAATGTTGGTGCCAGTCCTTAGCGAATAATGGTGTCAGTCCTTAGTGAATGTTGGTGCCAGTCCTTAGCGAATAATGGTGTCAGTCCTTAGTGAATGTTGGTGCCAGTCCTTAGCGAATAATGGTGTCAGTCCTTAGTGAATATTGGTGTTAGTCCTTAGTGAATGTTGGTGGTTGAATGTTAACACAAATTTTTAGTGGTATGTAATTTTATTCCACTCCTTATTGGTGCAATTGTCTTCTCTTATCTACACGTGTGGGGGAGGTTGACTACCAGTATTTGATGTTAATGTACGTAAAACATCTGGATAATGTTTATAATATTTGATATTTTTTTGTTTTAAGATGATGTTAAAGTTTTATTGTGAATAGGTTAGTGAAGGAGTTCGTTCCCTTTTGTTGATTTCTTTATCCTCTTGTTCGACCGCCTGGAAGGGTGGTCAGCAATATTGATTTGTTTTTCTTTACTTGAAATTCTCCTACCTTACTTACTGGAGAATCATTAATAATTTGTTCTTAAAAACCTGAAAAATAGCGAAGAAAAAGTTTTATTACCACATTGTATTAAAATGGCCACATGAGACATTTCTCAAAATAGTTAGGCATTGTTTCAAGGATAATGATATGGTTAATGAGCTACACATCATGAAATGTCACAGTCCCTAGTCCTGCTCACTGATCTTTAACACTTAGCAATTATATTAGAGCCCCCCAAAAAAAAAACGAATCAATGGTAGAAGTTACCATTCTTCGGGAAACACGGTTCTCTATCACTAAACCATCTAGCCATTTATTGAATAACTGAGTCCCAGCGATTCAATTACAAATACATTTATAGCTACATAATTTCTAAACTGCTTGTGACTTCCGCTTCATAGTCTCATAACATCTGATGCCATATGTTGTTGACGCCACGACTCCCGAACTATTTACTTTCAGAGATTAATTCGGTATCCGCCCACTACATCTCCAAATTGTTAGACAGCAGGATATCCAGAACTTAGAAAACATCACCATCGACAAAATAATTATTTTCACGCTCTCTGTCCCATGCCTCCGTTCATTAAATTTTCTCACGACCCTAAACTACCTCTCTCACATACTGTATGAATGAGTACACGTAAACAAATATGGGACTCTTGAACGCGTATTACCAAAGCATACGGAAGGTACCTGCGTTATCCTCTTAGATGTGGTGCTGCTGCGTCCTTGGCCTTAAGCTGTGCAACTGCATCCAAAAAGTCCACGGGGAAATCATTGAAGCTTCTACGTTGCCCCCCGCCGGCTTTATCTATACAAAGGGAATCGACGAAAATATGTGAGCTTCCTCAGATTACAGTAAGATAAAAATATAATTTGCAAATAGTTGTTAGACACTGTAAAAATTTTATTTAGTAAACGTGCTTAAAGATCTTGGCCGTCTACTCTTAAGTACAGTACAGGAAAACTTAGTGAGAGGCACACACACACACACAGAAAGAGGGTAAGTAGAAAAATAAATAAAGAAAGAGAGAAGAATGGCTAATTCTTACATGTAATTTCATGCAGGTACTTGACCATCTCTGCGTTCACTTTCAGTTTCTGCATCCAGGCGTAGAAGTTCTTCGAGTTGTTGTTCTGGTTCATCAGACACAAGTCCATGGCGCAATCCTCTGTGGAAATAAATAAATAAGTAAATAAATAAATAAATAAATAAATAACACGAAATTCCCAAGCGCCTTCGTGTAATTCACATCTTCAGGGGTGAGTACAGACTTGACAAGGATAATATACTATGCAGTAGAGGAGAGTGAGACCAAGTCCCTAGAGGACAGCAGGTGTCCACAATGATCCGGTCATAAGGCAGTGACCCTTACTAATCTTCTTAATCAAAAACAAATTTGACCATGTCATCTCTAAGCACAGCAGCTGTATGTAGTCAGGTCATAGGGTAAGATGACCCAACCTTCTTACCCGGTTACAAATCTTAATCACAAAATTATCCGGTTTGTACATACCATTACTCAAATTCATGTAGACAGACTCGGTATGTTTAATGAGACTGGATTCCATAATGTTCCTACTGACAATTGAATTACAAGGTAATATTGAGGAGACATTATCCCAGTCAATACAGTGCTTATTATCTCTCATATGAATGAAAGCGCTTGGGAACTAAGTGTTTTCTTGTGGTTATCAGCATATACTTGGATCACGCGCACCTACAGGGATTTACTTGCATATATATATATATATATATATATATATATATATATATATATATATATATATATATATATATATATAAAATGCACGGGAAAAGGGAAAAAAGCAGTATTTCGTCTTTATTCACAGACTGGTTGAAGTTTGATTAAGGAATTAAAATCAATAAACCTTAGTGATGGTCAGTTCAAAACTGATATGTTACATAAATTTATTTGTCAGTGGCCCAAGGTTAAAAATGCTTTGAAAACCTTTGATCTAGATGTATGATAGTTATTTTGTGGGTCCCTTTTTTCTGACCTGACCTGGCTAGTCACGTCACCACCCTTCTCTTAAGCTCCTCTACGTGTGTGTTGGTGTGGGGATATGTGGATGTCATCATTATGACCTGACCTCATGTTCTTAGGTCACCCTGTATATTTAAGCCTCTCTCTGTCCATGTAATCCAGTTGCCTCTGAAGATGTCTTGAATAAAGACGAAAGCTAAGGTACTCCGTTGTTTTCCATTTTCCCGTGTGATTTTATCAAGATATATATATATATATATATATATATATATATATATATATATATATATATATATATATATATATATATATATATATACAGAGAGAGAGAGAGAGAGAGTATTGGTTACAAAGAGTGTGTAGAAAACAGTGCGTTAATGTTCGAAATAAGGCAAACAGAGTATTGGGTTTTATATCCAGAAGTGTAAGTAACAAGAGTGCAGAGGTCTTATTGCAACTATATCTTGCGCTAGTCAGGCCGCACCTCGATTATGCGGTTCAGTTCTAGTGCCCTTATTATAGAATGGATATCAATTCCCTAGAGTCGGTGCAGCGAATAATGACGAAAATGATTCCGGGACTTAGAAACCTTCCATATCAGGATAGGTTAAAGAAACTTAACTTGCATTCCCTAGAAAGACGAAGAGTGCGGGGAGATAAGATAGAAGTATTTAAGTGGGTGAAAGGAATCAATAAAGGGGATATAGATAAAGTTCTTATAATATCCGAGCAGGATAGGACTCGGAGCAACGGATTTAAGTTGGATAAGTTTAGGTTTAGGAGGGAGAAAGGAAGGAACCGGTTCACAAATAGGGTGGTGGACGAATGGAACAAGCTTAGCAACTTTGTAGTAAGTGCTGGAACGCTGGAAAGTTTCAAAAGGAGGATGGATAGATTCATGGATGATAGAGAGTGGTAGTAACTCTCGACAGGAGCTGCCATGCACAGGCCAACCGGCCTATTGCAGACTCTTTATTTTCTTATTTTCTTATGTACAGAGTTTAACCTATACAGTATATACAACGTTTGTATTTACACTCATATCTTATACCAATAGTGGACAGTGATGAGGCTCATACCTAGCAAACAGCTCCTAATCAATGAGTAATAATGTTCAGGAGTGATCCATAAACTGCGGTGAGTAACGAGCAACACGCGAGAGAAAATTACTCACGCTTCAGATATTCATACGCGGAGTTTTGTCCTATGATGCTACTCAAGGAAGTGCTGCATAAGCTGTAGTATTTGTTCTTTGCGGCAGTGGTGGCGTAACACGGGTCGGTCTGTGGGTACACGAGACACTCTACTGTCATAAACAACCGTTCATCATAAAACACTCTACTCTCATAAACAACCCTTCATTATAATTGTATGTAGTAGGCAGCTATCAAACAGGGAGGGACTATCACCTAGAAAGATATTGGAAGCATAATGTGTTGTCTTATGGTAGACCCTGCTGACTATTGGCATCACAAAAATTGTGACCAAGTCCCAGGTTGTTGTACTGACTTTTGCCTCGTTTACACACAATTGCAGTCTCAATTATTTCTCTCACCTTGACAACACAACATACATATATTGTTTCTCACTATTGATCTTTATCATTATTATAATTTAATTATATTTTTTATTTTGTACTTTTTTTATAAAATTTATTTTGATTTTTTTGGTAATAATAATAATAATAATAATATTATTATTATTATTATTATTATTATTTTTACCCCCCAGGCCCCGATGTGGGTCAGTGACCTGTGGTGGGCTAACCCTGTAAAAAAAAAAAAAAAAAAATATATATATATATATATATATATATATATATATATATATATATATATATATAAACATCATAATACACTCTACTGTCATAAGCAACCCTTCATTGTAATACATCCTACCGTCATAAACAACCCTTCATTATAATACACATTATTCTCATTAACATCCCTTCATCATAATACACTCTTCTGTCATATAAAATCCTTCATTGTAATACATCCTACCGTCATAAACAACCCTTCATTATAATACACTCTACTGTTATTAACATACCTTCATCATAATGCACTCTACTGTCATATGCAATCCTTCATTATAATACACCCTACTGTCATACAGCAATTTACTACAACACCCTCTATCCTACCCTCAGAATCCAGGTAAAAAAGTCACAGGTAAAAAAGTCACAGGTAAAAAAGTCACAGGAAAAAAAGTCACAGGAAAAAAAGAAAAGTTAACTATCGAATTCTCACATTCTTTAAGGTTAATATGTCAATCAGTTTCAGTAAAGGAATATGCAGAACTGATGGTAAATTAATGAGTTTCGCTTAAAAATTATAAAATAGAACAAAAACATTAGATTCTTTGTATAATCGGGCTGGAATATTCGTCTTAATCATCAGCATTAAAAACACTGAATATACATGAAATGCCATGATATTCTGTAAGGTGTTTTCAATCTGTACATGTCATGTACTGTCAATAAATGACTGACTTAAATATTTTTGTTTGATTACCTTACTGTGCTTAAGATATTGAACCTTAACGTGATTTGTTTTCACATACATGTAATGCCATCATATATAAATAGTGTTGTCAGTTAATAACTGAATTAAAATATTTTCAGTTTTATTACTTTAATTGTTTATGGTACTTAAATAAACTGTGACTGACTTGAATATTTTTTTTTATTACCTGACTTTCTTTCTTCACCAAAATTGTGACTTTATTACCGGCCACCATAAATTAATTGTGACTTTTTTACCTGTGACTTTTTTCCTGTGACTATTACCGGCCACCTACCCTCAACCCTTCATTATAATACACTCTTCTGTCATCAACTCCCACCATCATAATACACTCTCCTCTCATAAACAATCCTTCATTATAATGCATCCTACTGAAATACAACAATTTACTACAACACCCTCTACTCCTACCCTACTTGTATTTTTATGTATAAGTTAATTAAATTTCCTGTTGCAGATTAATACTTACTAAAACGATCCATAAGATTGGTTGGTCTTTACGTATAATTCTGTCCTCATTCAGGTTGAGGCAACACCATTATGATTCTGTCAGTGAGTAGGAATTCATACCTAAATAGACACCTACACCTCTACCTGTATTTGATAGTTTGAAGAGGCAGCTGAGAGAAGGGGTATCACGCTTTGGGGTGAATTACATGACCTCACATGAAGAGACCTCACACAATGTACCCACAGAGGGCGACCTCACTTTACCCGGAGATCTGACGGTTGAGAATGACCTGTTAACGAGATCTGAGGTTGTTGAGTTCCACAACAACTTAAATAATGAGTTACTTAATGCACAAAGGTAGAACATACCATACAGAAAACTCAGATCAAGCAACAATGACCCTAAATGGATAAATAATTATTTAAAGAATATTTTTGGACAATGGCGAACGTAATACCGATTTTCAAGAAAGGAGATAGATCAATTACTGGAGACAATTATTTCAAACTCTATTCGAAATCACCTGGAGAAGCACAAGTTGATCAATGATTCCCAACATGGCTTCACAAGCGGGCGTTCATGTCTAACTAATAAGAAAAGTGGAGGCTCATGGCATTAAAGATGATATTCTAAAGTGGATTAGGGCGTGGTTACAGGACAGAAAACAGCGAGTGAGCATTAACGGCACTAAATCCCATTGGAGCAACGTGCTAGTGGAGTTCCGCAAGGCTCAGTACTTGGACAATTATTATTTATTATATACATAAACGGCATAGATACCGGCGTAGACAGCAACATAAGTAAATTTGCTGATGACACTAAAATAGGACGTGTAATTCAATCTGACGAGGACTCCGCAAAACTACAGGAAGATCTAAAAAAAATTTTCGAATGGTCTGAAAAATGGCAGATGAAATTCAATGTTGACAAATGTAATGTACTCAGTATAGGAGATGTAAACAGGGAAACCAGATACCAGATGAACAACGATGTTATCGAGAAATCCGACTGCGGGAGAGATTTAGGAGTAATAATAAGTAGGAATCTTAAGCCAAGTAAACAATGTGTATTTGGTCGAAACAAAGCTGATAAAGGACTTGGGTTCATACAAAGGAGTGTTAGTTACAAGACTAGCGAGGTCATCCTCAAACTACATCTTGCGCTTGTGAGACTTCACTTGGATTACGCAGTTCAGTTCTGGTCACCATATTACAGAATGGATATAGAATCCTTGGAAAGAATTCAGAGGAGAATGAGAAGACTAATCCCGGGCATAAGGAACCTTGAGTACAGAGACAGGTTAAAGCATCTTAATTTGCACTCCCTCGAGAGCCGTAGAGTGAGGGGCGACATGATCGAGGTGTATAAATGGAATTCAGGGCTGAACAAAGGGGACATTACAAAGGTACTCAAACTATCCAACCAGGAGCGAACTCCTAACAATGGTTTTAAATTAGACAAACTTAGATTTAGGCGCGAAATAGGTAAACAATGGTTTGTAAAGAGAGTAGTGGAACAAGTTACTAAATATCATCATCAACTCGAATACGCTGGAACGCTTCAAACATAGGTTGGATGGATATATGAGCAATAGGGGTTGGGTATAAATGGGACTGCCCAGTATGGGCCAACAGGCCCGTTGCCTTTTCCTCCATTCTTATTTTCTTATAACTAAATCTGTACTTTTACTAATACCTAAAGTATTGCCTGTACTTTTACCTAAATCTTTACCTGTACTTTATACCTACACCAGTGCCTGTGTCGTATAGCATAAATTAATACCTGTAATGAATACCTAAATTTTTACCTGTACCCGAAGATTTTACTTCTTGGTAATATTTCTGGATATTTAAATAATCTATGAAAATTAATAGAAACTTATAAACAAGATGCCCATGAAGTCATACTCACAGTGTAATCGTTGACACAGCCTAGATGCGGCTCAGGACATGACTGGGTACATTTACGATCCGACTGTTTGTGAGCCTGAAAAAACAAAGATATATATATATATATATATATATATATATATATATATATATATATATATATATATATATATATATATATATATATATAATTCAATTCACTAATCAAACTAGCTTCAACCAGAAGTCTTTCTGTGACACATGATGATTTGTACACTTCTAAGCTGTTTTCCCAATCCATGGGATGATTAATGTTCCTAACATGAACGAACAGTCACTGCTTTCAGATGCTGTTCTGATATTGTACGTGTCAGCGTAGATGGTGTTAAATCTGAATGGGGCCGTGAAACCAGTGGGGTTCCCCAGGGGTCAGTACTAGGCCCACTCTTGTTCATAATCTACATAAACGATCTTGATACTGGGATTAGCAGTGACATAAGCAAGTTTGCTGATGACACCAAAATAGGGCGGCAGATTAATTCAGGGCTGGATGCAAATGCATTACAGGAGGATCTAAATAAACTGCAGGGGTGGTCTGAAAAATGGCAAATGAAATTCAACACCAGCAAGTGCAGCGTACTTAATATTGGAAGTACATATACTGATAATGTATACAGCCTTAACAACATCAACCTAGAGAAGTCGACTTGTGAAAGAGATCTAGGGGTACTTGCAAGCCCGGACCTACGGCCTAGAAAACAGTGCGTTAATGTTCGAAGCAAGGCAAACAGAGTATTGGGTTTTATATCTAGAAGTGTAAGTAACAAGAGTGCAGAGGTCTTATTGCAACTATATCTTGCGCTAGTCAGACCGCACCTCGATTATGCGGTTCAGTTCTGGTGCCCTTATAGAATGGATATCAATTCACTAGAGTCGGTGCAGCCAAGAATGACAAAAATGATTCCGGGACTTAGAAACCTTCCATATCAGGATAGGTTAAAGAAACTTAACTTGCATTCCCTAGAAAGACGAAGAGTGCGGGGAGATATGATAGAAGTATTTAAGTGGGTGAAAGGAATCAATAAAGGGGATATAGATAAAGTTCTTATAATATCCGAGCAGGATAGGACTCGGAACAACGGATTTAAGTTGGATAAGTTTAGGTTTAGGAGGGAGATAGGAAGAAACTGGTTCACAAATAGGGTGGTGGGCGAGTGGAACAGGCTTAGCAACTTTGTAGTAAGTGCTGGAACTCTGGAAAGTTTCAAAAGGAGGCTAGATAGATTCATGGATGATAGAGAGTGGTAGTAACTCTCGACAGGAGCTGCCATGCACAGGCCAACCGGCCTATTGCAGACTCTTTATTTTCTTATGTTCTTATGTAATGCTTTCCCAGTCTGTCCTACATAATTTCCATTACAGTTGCTACATGGAATGCAGTATATATATATATATATATATATATATATATATATATATATATATATATATATATATATATATATATATATATATATATATATATATATATATATATATATATATATATATATATATTTATTTAATTGGGCGTGTATGACAGAAAACTTCTGTAGAAGAAGTGAGTCATGTGACTCTACTGCAGAAGATATTACTCACCAGCCAGGAGACGGGGAAGGCCCGAGGGAATTTTTGGAGTTGGTAAACGGTGTTGTCTCTCGCGGTGAAATCGTCGGGGGTGTACTGGTTGAAGTGCCCACAGAGGCCGTACAAGTCGTCGTGGTGGGCTGGGTGGGCCCACACATCCAGTCTGTTAGCACACTGCTGGACCTGTGTTGTGCGTTAGTCATAAGTCCTGTATTCGGGAATTATGTATGCTTTATTTAGCCAATTAATTGTTTTATCTTGTATAGAATAAAAAAAAAATCTAAATTTACAAATTTACAGAAACAAAAATATTTTATATCTAATTTCACCATCAACATCAATATCGCATTGTGTGTGTTTATAACCATTCTTCAGTTTAGCCACACGAATTTAATGCTTATTCTGTTTAATGATACATACTTAGATTTTGTTTGCATCTTGACACACAGAAACAGATTGCATACTGTAAATATATATACTCCATAGAGAGACTAGATAGATAATTAAGTCACTTACCACCAGCTGGGAGGAGCCGACAACCAGATTGCAGTCAGCCGCACTGGGATGCCGTAAGACCATCACGTAATGGTTGACCCACGGATTAGGCGGCAACATCTTGAAGAAGGTCGCGGTTTTAATGACTATCGGCTGGCTGTTGTAGAATACCTGGTGAAGAGGAAATCAGGTGTTAGCGTATTGTGGTGCTTCGGTGGTCAGGGTCTGGTGTGCTACAAACGTTTAGAAATATCGGAAGAATCAACAGGAAGATTAGGTTAGGTTAGGTTACGTAAACTAAAGAGGAAGGGACGATGCCATATACGTCTGCATATACTTTTACTTTAAGAATTGAGAATTACTTAAGCAACGAGAAGTTGATAGTATGAGTAAAATAATTTGGGTCATAAATGCATAATAAGTTCTGTCCAGTCTAGATAATATAAGAATCTATATATTTTTTTTCAATAAACATTTAAGGCTAGGCTGAAATAAAAGTTAAGGGATTATGAAAAAAACTCACAAATATCGAAGAGAGAGAGAGAGAGAGAGAGAGAGAGAGAGTAAAACTGCCAAAAGGAGGGAGACAATGAGAAAGACAGAGAGGAGAAAACGGACTGCATGTATGAGAGAGAGAGTAAGTGAGGAGAAAAAATGACACTTAGAAAGAGATATCGAGGAATACTTGAATTGAGAAAGAGAACGGTGAAAAAACAGTGAATGAAAAAGGGGCAGTTATAAAGAGAAGTTAAAAATAGATAGTGGGAGAGGTTGGGAGAGAGAGGAGAAAGCATGCAGTTAGTAAGAGAGAAACTGAAGAAATAGGTAAGGAAAATGAGAGGAAAAAAAACAACAGAGAACCAGATCGAATGACGAACCAAGCTTGGGCTGTCAGCGTTGAGAGTGACAATGGTGTGTGCACTATCCCTGAAGGTAGTGCTGGAGACCGAGGAGGCCAGATTGTTGTATTGAAAGGGTTCGAAGTCGCTGAACACGCCATGATCAGGATGATGCCCAAAGCCCGTCTGCGTGACTGTGTAGTTGCAGTGTCCTTGGAAATCGTAGTGGTAGCTGTCGTAGGTAACAACGTGAGGGTCGTCGTGAATCTTGCAGTGACCGCCTGCCATACATACCAAAAAGAGATGTCAGAATTAGTTAAAGTCTCCTACTTCATTATCGATATACCCACATAAAGTCTTAGGAACACATTTATTCATCAGTAACTAAGATTTTTTTTTTCAGTCTGACTGTACTGTCAAAATTAAGACATTAACATAACGCTGATACAGACGTAAATGTTGGTATTTTATAAAGAACAACAATGATGAACAAAAATAGGACTTTTATAATGCATTACTGGGATTTGTGACCTAGAATGTTTGAGCCTCAACTCATAAATTAGAATAACTCTCAGGGAAATAGATTTTAGATTTCACCGCCTTAGAATGACTCATAATACGGAACAACTCACAGCAATGATCGATAGTGTCGTACATATACCAGTAGGAATAGTGACATTGGATAGAGATGCAGTGAGAAGTCAACCGTTCCCAGTTTGAGTACATCTGTCCACGGAACTCACAACCTGAAGAAGAGATACAACATCTGAGATACAGAGACATAATTGAGAGGTAGGAGGAGAAATGAAAGGCAGAGAGAGGGAGGGGGTGTAAATGAGCCATTTCAAACAAGGAAGAAGTGCCTCCTGATGTGTCATTATATTCAACATCAACACAAACCAGATTTCTGAAGTTAATTAACATGAATCTGAATTACCTGAAGTAGATATGTATAAAAAACCCTGTGCCTATCCCCACAATAATGATTAGGTCATTGCAATATGCCTACCCCTAAAGCCACCATCCAAATACTTACAATACTTTTTTCCTGGGCCACCATGGAAGTACATGACGTTTTCGCCCTTGTCACAGTAGATCTGGAGACAGCCGTACGGGTAATTGAACATGACAGAGCCATGAGGGTACACGACCCCACCAAAAGTGCATGTCTTACAGCTCTGACAGTGTCGGGGCTTGGTGGGTATCACTCGAGCCATCTGAATTATTCTGTCTATGTCCATTTCTGTAAGATTGGTGGTGAAAATGACGCATCAAACAATGGGGAGTTTATTCATTGGTTTTACTTTTTTTCAAAATTATTTGTTATGCAACTTTCTAAATTTGGTCTTGGAATTCTTACAGAGTGCATAAGCAGTTCTATTATTATTATTATTATTATTATTATTATTATTATTATCATTATTATTATTATTATTATTATTATTATTATTATTATTATTATTATTATTAATCAGATGTAAATATCAGGAAGAGCAGACATCACTCACACCGCCCAGTCGCGATAAAACTGAAAAGTGAGATATGAAGGTGAGAGAGACGCCATCTTACTTTGGTCATCTTGGTCTTCACTTTGTTGGTCCTGATTTTCATCTTGAGATTGGTCTTCGCTGTCTTGGGACTCGGTTTGGTCGAGCCCAAGGTCTTCACTTTGTTGGTCCTGATTTTCATCTTGAGATTGGTCTTCGCTGTCTTGGGACTCGGTTTGGTCGAGCCCAAGGTCTTCACTTTGTTGGTGGTACCGGTGGTACTTGCCCTGCACACCCAGTGCAACCACACACAAGAGCAGGAGGGATAAACCCCTGCCGCTTTTCACCATCTCTGGAGAAAAACACAGACATGAAATGACGAAATGAAAGAAATCGATGTCATTTAATCTATTTCCATTTTTTCTTACGGATGAAATCAAATTCTTATTCTTGAACTTATGGTTTTCCTCTCTGTCACTGAAATTAAAAAACAAATTTTCGGAAAAGAAATTAAATCCATAGAATTTTACACATTTTAAACGGTAAAAAATAATGAGCCATCCAGCAGCGCAATTATTTCAGTGTTATAGAAATAAAAATGATAAAGCAAACTTCCTGATATATTCAGCGATATTTGTCTTTGCTTTAAGAAAATAAGATAACAAGTATAAACATATACAGTAAGTACTACAACAGGTCACGTCTTCTATAATTCTCTGATGGTGTCTTGATGAGTAATTCCCTCATGATTGGCTAATCTCACATGGTTAATAGAATACACATGATTAGTAATCGATTTCGGATAACTAATCTCTCATGAGAAGTAAACTCGTTACGTAAGTGTATCTTAAAATTAGCTAATCCTTAACTTGTACAGACTGCGACCCACTTTGGCTCGCTAAGCGTCAATAAACTCTCACTCATAGAGAATATAGAAACATTTAAAGGAAATTCTTAAAACGACCAATTGTAACTCATAAATCAAACTGTGACGTAAGTTCTTAAAGGTACGTCTTGAATCATACTCCTAACTGAGTTTCTAAAGCACGTTCTAAAGGTAAACTATTAAGGTTAACTATTAATTAAAGGGAGTTCTCAAAGCAAGCCCTTAAAATCAACTCTCACAGCTAATTCTCAATTGCAAACACATCAGTAAATTTTTAAAGGAAACTCATTTAGGCAAAATATTTAAAGACAATTTAAAGTACATCATTAGCGTAATTCTGAAACAAATTTTTAAACTTCTATAACCAAATTATACAATGAATTTTTTTTAACGGTTATTGAAATTTTCTTTTTAGCTCCTCCGCACAATCAGTTAGTGTTCCCTAATTAGTAATTACGAGGGTTATATTCTGCGTTCCAGTGGTCCTTATGTGGTTATATTCGGGGTGTACAATGTATATTTATATCCAGTATACACAATAGACGGTTATACATAGGGTTATACATAGGGTAAAGGTATATTCACACAAGATCAGAAATCAAGAAGTGAGTCTAAACATTGATAATAATATTCCTGATTAGCCTGAGATTCCCTACGCAGAAAAAAATAGTTATATATTTATATAGAGTGTCTCTGAAAGGTTTAATTCACAAGTTGTTTGTCTTACCCGATGATACAGGTTAAAACAAAACTTATCGTTCACATACTTAAGAGAATACAGGTAAAGGTACTCACTTAAACTAGGTGGTTAGCACAATAACACTGTAACAGCTTGAGATATATACTACAGTATACTGAGCCCGCTCTCTCCTCACTCACTCACTCGCGACCACAGGGTGAATATATACCTTTCTCCATGACGTAACGTGACGTATGCGAGGGGGGACGCGCTTGTCAATTTTTGACTCGGGGGAAAGACATAAGAACGAAAGAATGGAAGAACCTGCAGCGGCCCTATTGGCCCATACTGGGCAGTCCCATTTACACCCAACCCCTATTGCTCATATATCCACCCAACCTATGTTTGAAGCTATCCAGCGTATTCGAGTTAATGATGATGTTTGGTAACTTGTTCCATTTATCCACTACTCTATTTCCAAACCAATGTTTGCCTATCTCGCGCCTAAATCTAAATTTGTGTAATTTAAAACCATTGTTAAGAGTTCGCTCCAGGTTGGATAGTTTGAGTACCTTTGTAATACCCCATTTGCTTAGCCCTGCCTTCCATGACACCGATGGCATAAACATGTTACAGGAAAGAAGAAACCAACAAAAAAAAGACATCAGTTTTATAGATTCCAGATAACGTCCTTAACCTTATGGTGAATGTTTATGCACATTTTGATTCTCATAAACAAAAATAGACAAGTTTCACACATTCGTTGGCTGCTTCTTTACAGTAAATATTATCTTTCTGGTGGACGTTGTAGCATTTTTGTTACCCTTTGAATTATGTAACATCTCTTTTTTTACACACACACGCGAACATTATTTCGTACACCTTGTCATTTCTAAATCAAAGGTGACGGCATCTAGGAAGAAAAATTTTATCATGTGATGCTGTCAGAGGATTATGTTAAAGCTGGCAATCCTGCATCATGCTACAGTTAGCACCCCTCTATCATGCTACAGTTGGTACTCCTGTATCATGTTATAGTTGGTGCTCCTGTATCATGCTACAGTTGACACTCCTGTAATTTGCCATAGTTGACCCTCCTGGATCATTGTATTTTCTGCACTACTAGGCTGGTCTTAAGCCTCGTACACCAATTGAGGAAGAGTCTGGTGTAAGACGATGGAGATGTTTAAGTTGAAATGTGAGATGAGTTAACCCTTGAAGTGAGATGATTTCACCTATTTCATAAGATTATTTAACTCCTTGAGTATGATGATCTAACCCCTTGAGTAATCGAGAGTTAAGTCATCTTATTTAAGGGGCTAAATCATCGTAGTTAAAGGGTTAGATCGTCGTACCAAAAACATAAGTCATCCTACTCAGAGGCTTAAGGGTTTAATGCATAAGATGATTACTCGTAGCATGAAAGATATCAGACTTCCAGACTATGAAAATCAATATGATGGATTTGCCAATAAACAAGAATCTTAAAACTGTCCAGCGACCGTAAGTACATGCATATCTATTTTATACAGGGTGTCCCATAAATTTCCATACATAGGAAAAATAAACCTTTTTATATGAAAATCCATTTTTATTTATATAATATGCTCTACATGACTACCATTGTGTTGAAAACACTCTTCAATGTGTGTCCTCCACTGCTGAAGAACACGTTCAAGCACAGCTGGAGTTATGCTTGTAATGGCGTTGGTGATACGTTGTTTGAGATGATTTATGTTTTGTATCTTTTCCTGATATACCATGGCCTTCAAATGCCCCCAAAGGTAAAAATCAAGTGGGGTAAGGTCTGGGGATCTGGGAGGCCACTCCACAGGACCACGCCGACCAATCCAATGTTAAAAACCATATGTATGGAAACTTATGGGACACCCTGTATAATATTTGATTATTTCTTATATGGTATAACTAGCAAGAGACAGCGGTGCATTTGACCATCTCGTGCGACTGTTTCGTGTAGTCGGTGTAGCTGAGCCAATCAGCGATGGCCTCATGTCATAACGAAGCATAAATTAAGCACAGCAGTCAGCAACAGTATTGTTTCGTCATTCTTGAAACGTCACTCCTTCTTTTACGTCAAGTGGACAAATGAGTCAGAACTCAGATCAATGAGACCTTTTTAAAGAATATGAAGATGGATCAGGCCAGCCAGTCATTATCCCTTTGTTAAACGACAGCTGCACAGAGAATGTTATCAGATCTTTTCATGAATATATTGAGGAAATTGATCAATATTATCTTCTAACACGTGATATCTAGTTCTTTTATATGAGTGTTGTATGCAGTTTGCTCTACGTGTTCATATCCATATATTGTACAACACCATACACTCCCTCACTCTATTCTTGTACAGCAACACACTTCTAATCAGACCTTTACCTTATCAATTTTACAAATTACTCCCTTATTCCTCTCAGCGCCCACTTCTATCACTCACCAACTGACTCTAGAGAAATCCGCTACCAAAACCCTATTGGCGCTTTATTATTTACAAACCAACTTAATACTAATGAATATCACAGTTGACTGCACTGTGTCTTCCAGTAAACTCTACCAAACTATTATACTTACCCTTTTATTCCCTTTTTTCTACCCTTTTAGAGCATTTGCCATTTTCTGCCTCTTAACATTCTTTCTGATATGTTAGTATTCTATTATCAGATGCTAAGGTCACCTGTCTTACTCATTTCTTCAATAGATTCTTCGTATAAAGTCAAGTATTTTTTTCGATATGGTCAAACGTATTTTTTTAGTCCTATTATTATGTCTAAATTTACCACAATAACTTCTCCAGTGGTCAGAATTTTAAGCAAACATAGAGACATCGTTCTTGTTTGTCAAACATAAATTTTCAAGTTTATGCCAATGTCTGCTGGTTTACTGCCTCTAGTACTATCCTCTCACTCTTTACCCTCACAATATAAACTTTGTTATATTTTTTCTCCAAACTGACCCTATGCTACACATAATTTCCTCTGTATGTAAAAAAAAAATGTCTTCACACATCAGAATCACTGAAAACAAATTATCACTTCTCTTTTTTTATTTTTACAATGTAATAAACAACACTTGGAACATCTTATACTCTTACCTACACTAGAGGGTATCGCTGTCCACCATACACTCTGAGATGGAGACTTGATGTAGTAACTAACACGAAGGTTTAATAAATAACGTATTGTATAACTTGACTGATTAAGCCATTTGTCTTTTCATTTAATCCTTAAAAGTGACTTTGCTGGGTGATTGACTGGATGAATAGCTTAGTGGATTATTGCGTGGATGAATATGCGGATGAATATTAATGACTCGCGCATGATAACTTGTAAGTAATAATTAGGTTACTTCAAATTCACAATTAAGTTATTTATTTTGGTTTGTTATTGAATCAGATATGAACACAAACATTATTTTTGAAGCAAAGAATCACCAGGTAGTTGTGTATATACCTGACTCAGGATCACCAGGTAGTAGTGTATATACCTGGCTCAGGATCACCAGGTAGCAGTGTATGTAACTGGCTCAGGATCACCAGGTAGTAGTGTATATACCTGGCTCAGGATCACCAGGTAGCAGTGTATGTAACTGGCTCAGGATCACCAGGTAGTAGTGTATATACCTGGCTCAGGATCACCAGGTTGTAGTGTATGTACCTGACTCAGGACCACCAGGTAGTAGTGTATATACCTGGCTCAGGATCACCAGGTAGTAATGTATATACCTGACTCAGGATCACCAGGTACCTGACTCAGGGTCACCAGGTAGTAGTGTATATACCTGGCTCAGGATCACCAGGTACCTGACTCAGGGTCACCAGGTAGTAGTGTATATACCTGGCTCAGGATCACCAGGTAGTAGTGTATATACCTGGCTCAGGATCACCAGGTAGTAGTGTATATACCTGACTCAGGATCACCAGGTACCTGACTCAGGGTCACCAGGTAGTAGTGTATATACCTGGCTCAGGATCACCAGGTACCTGACTCAGGATCACCAGGTATTCCTATGATGTTAATAAGATCTCCTATTAAACCATTATATATTTTAAGTTTATAACAATGTTAGATTTAATATTAACTTAAATACAATGCATTTTGGGTTGGTATAATGAATAGTGTTATAACCAACCTAAAACTCAGTTGAATATTGGCTAGTTATCAAAAGGTCACTCGTGTGCTTGAACCAAATACAAAATGAATTCATAGATGCACTGAATGCTTCTATTGAACACTGATGTATAAGACATTAATTTCAAGTTCTTAAAGCTGAAAAGTACATTCAAGACCCACCACTTGTAACTTTTTGATGGAGAATGATGCCATTGAACGCACATTCTAATTACCATCGAGTCCCTGAGAAAAAACATGAAAGAATCTTTGAAATGTAAGTCGTAAATTATTTCGACCAATGCCTTAGTTTTCTTTCAGCTCAAAAGACGAGAATAGTTCGTGGAAAAAAACATCACATTTTCCAACATTATAGCAGATTTTATTGTTGTCATTTTTTTTTAACGGGGATTAGCCCACCCGGGCACAGGTCAACGACCCACATAGGGGCCTGGGGGCGAAAATGTAATAATAAAAATAATAATAATAATAATAATAATAATAATAATAATAATAATAATAATAATAATAATAATAATAATAATAATAATAATAATAATAATAATAATAATAATAATAATAATAATAATAATAATAATAATAATAAAGAAATACAAAAATAACAAAAAAAAGATCAGAAGTGAGAAACGATATATGTATGTTGTATTGTCAGTAGTAAGAGAAACAATTGAGACCTTGCAATTGTGTGTAAATGAGGCACAAAGTCAGATCAGCAACCTGGGACTTGGTCACAATTTTTGTGATGCCATATGGCAGCAGGGTCTACCATTAGACAATAGTATGCTTCCAATATCTTCCCTAGCGGTAGTACCTCCCTGTTTGGTAGCTGCCTACTACCTACCTACTTAGAAAATAAGGTCCTAGCTAGGGTTCTCTATGCATATTTTGGCATTATTTCACATATTTCTAGTAAGCGAATCACGGGAATTTCATAGATGCAATCGGTAATTTTAACAATTCAAAGACACTTTTCCCCAATGGTATTTCTGGAGCTAATTAAGTATATGTGATATATTATACATTTTATTATGTATATTCGTAAGTGGCGGTACACACCCAGAACATCGAACGACTATGGAGCCTTCGTGGTTAGGTTAGGTTCTTTAGTATCAAAACTGTTTTTACGATGGTTTTTGATGAGCTTTGTACTCTTTTTACCTTGATTTTTATAGCAAATCTCTAGATTCTGAGGTGGAGAGGGGGGATTATCTTAGAAACTATTGATCTGCACTAGAAATGAAGGTAAAATTCGTTCATAACAGATGGTGTTAGGAGGGACCTCACGTGGTGTAGTAGTTCCCTCACAGATGGTGTTATGAGGGGCCTCACGTGGTGTAGTAATCCCTCACAGATGGTGTTATGAGGGGCCTCACGTGGTGTAGTAATGATGTAGTAGTGATGGTAGTGATGGTGGTGCTATATGTAGTGATGATGGATAGTGTTATATGTATTGATTATGGATGGTGTTATATGTAGTGATGGTGGATGGTGTTATATGTTGTGATGATGGATGATGTTATATGTAGTGATGATGGGTGGTGTTATATGTAGTGATGATGGGTGGTGTTATATGTAGTGATGATGGATGGTGTTATATGTAGTGATTATGGATGGTGTTATATGTAGTGATGGTGGATGGTGTTATATGTTGTGATGATGGATGATGTTATATGTAGTGATGATGGGTGGTGTTATATGTAGTGATGGTGGATGGTGTTATATGTAGTGATGGTGGATGGTGTTATATGTTGTGATGATGGATGATGTTATATGTAGTGATGATGGGTGGTGTTATATGTGGTGCTGATGGGTGGTGTTATATGTAGTGATGATCTATATCTATATAAAACAAAGAAGTCTGTCTGTGTGTCCGCACGAGAATCTCGGAAACTATTTTACCGATCTGTAGTGATGATGGATGGTGTTATATGTAGTGATGATGATGGATGGTGATATATGTAGTGATGATGGATGATGTTATATATAGAATATGAAAAATATCCCTCCGTTGTCATTGGCAACACGGATAAGAAATGTGAATACTGCGGTGCAAAGAAGTACAAAGGAGAATCTGCTGTACTGTGCTGCTCTCATGGGAAAGTACGACTGCCAAATTTGGAAAAACCACCACAACCATTGAAGACTCTCATACTGGGAACAACACCAGAGTCAAAAACTTCTTGGAAAATATACTGAAGTACAATTCATGCTTCCAGATGACATCCTTTGGAGCTACCAGAGTAGTTCGTGAGCACGGATACATGCCCACATTCAAAGTCCAGGGTCAAGTCTATCACAAAGCAGGATCCCTCTTACCACTGGAAGATGAGCAGGCAAAGTTCCTCCAAATCTACTTCATGGGAGATCATGAAAAGCAGACTCCTGTCAGGTGTGGCAACATTCAAGGTGTCAGACATGACATTGTCCTATCTATCCAAGAAATGCTGCATACGCGCAACACGTTTAAAAATGCCCTGGAAAACATATCTTCTGACGAGTACAAAGTTAGGATCAAAGCAGACGCCTTAATGCACTACAGTGAGACAATGTGGAGCCTCCCGGAGGGTGGCGTCCTACCGTGGCCTAGCGAAAGAGCCGCCCGAGGGCGGCGATTCCGCTAGTATATATATATATATATATATATATATATATATATATATATATATATATATATATATATATATATATATATATATATATATATATATTTATATCATGTAGATCCACAATGAAAACGCGGATAAGATAAATTTGATAAAATTCTATGTGCTTTATTCAAGACATCTTCAGAGGCACTAGTTGCCTCTGAAGATGTCTTGAATAAAGACGAAAGCTAAGGTGCTCGTTGTTTTCCCTGTGTGATTTCATCAAGATATATATATATATATATATATATATATATATATATATATATATATATATATATATATATATATATATATATATTGACAAGACTAATATATACAGTATAGGAGAATGAGATCAGGTCCCTAGGGACAGCAGGTATCCACCATAATTAGGTCATAAGGTATGGTGACTCAACCCTTTCTCCTGGTTACAAATCCTCTTAATCACAGAATTGTCCAGTTTATACATGCCATTACTCAAATTCATGTAGGCAGACTCGGTATGTTTAATGCGACTAGATTCCATAATGTTCCTACTGACAATTGAGTTACGAGGTAATATTGAGGAGACATTATCCCAGTCAATACAGTGCTTATGATCTCTCATATGAATGAACAGAGCTTTGGATTCCTGGCCTGTCCTAACACTATATTTATGTTGTTTAAGTCTAGTTATAAGATCTTTTCCCGTCTGGCCTAAGTAAAACATATTACATTCCTGGCAAGGAACCTTGTAAATGCAGCCGCATTTGTTTTACAGTGCATGAGTTACTAAATGTTACATTTAAGTTCCAGGTTTTCAGTTGTAGAGGAATTTGAGATAATTTTTTTTTTAAAAGGTAATACTAAGAGATTCTTATTGTCATGGGGAGGCTTAGGATCAGTTCTATAAAAAGATTTCTTAGCAATGTTAAGGCATTTGCCTACAGAAGACCTCGGTATTTAAGTTCAAATCAAAATTATAGGTCTATTAATTTTCCTCATCAATGAATTCCGGACTGCATATTCGTAGAGCACGTAAAAATATTGATGAGAATACTGACTTTTTGACTCTCTTTTGGTGGGCAGAATAATATTTATATATGAACACATATTGGTAGGTTTCCTATAAATACTGAGCTTAAAGGTGTTACCTTCTCTGTGGATCAGCCAATCTAGGAATTGTAATTTGCAGGCAATGAAATTAGAGAGTGACTGAAAATTACCACTAACCATCATTAACCGCCGCCATCTTGTTTACCTGCATGACTTATTAACCTACCTGACAGGTATCACTCAAAATTTAGCGTTTAACAAATTAATTTATTATCAGCCATCTGATAATAACTAATATCATTGTATCATAGCTGGATGATCGTCATACTCGATTCCGAGTGACAGCAAAGTATGGGGGCCCACCACGAGCCGCACCTCAGTCGCAGTGTGCATCGACACCTTGCTGGTCACTGCTCCACGCCCCTGTCGCCACGTTTATCTCAAACACGGAAGATTAACTTACAGTTGAGTTGAATTTAACCCACATGTAATACTACTACTACTACTACTACTACTACTACTACTACTACTACTACTAGTACTACTACTACTACTACTAATAATAATAATAATTAACGGATTATTAAAAGAGCATGGCAGCCGGAAGGCTGAAAATATACAGTTACATAATTGGGGAATGGATCTCTTGATTGACAAATAATATGCAAGTAACATATGATGGCTAAATATGATATATATAATAACTGAGGTAGAGAATCTCAAACCACATGCCGCTCAACATAGTGACAGTGCAAAAGTATGAGCATCGATGGAATACACTTGCTGATTACAAGTTATTGATAATTTTAAAATGTTGTGACTGGGCTGTTCTTATATGATCAGTCTGTTCTCGTATGGGCTGGATGCAGTTGTGGTGTCGAACAGCAATTCTCGGGCGAGGGATCTCGGTGGTAGTAGTAATGTGTCAAGACAGAAGCTTCACCACCCAGCGATGAGGTCGGGTGTGATGGTCAGTGAGATGATAGGGTCAGTGTGTTGAGCTCTTCTTCATATGTGTGGAGTAGGAAGGGAGAGAGAATAATCCTAAAATTTTTTCTGAAAGCGTTTTACTTTTGTGGCGGGTATTTATAAGACCAGGTAGGGAGGCATAGGTGGGTTTCAGGAAGTATGAATGTTGAGTAAACACTGAGGAACTAGGGGGGTAGAACCTGAGGGGACTTGAGTCGGCGGAGGAGGTGGAGACGGTAAACTGAGGATTTGACAATCCTCACTGACGTGTGTCGAACAATTTAGTTTGTTGTCTATGGTGACACCGAGGAGCTTAGTAACTAGCCAAACCGAGTGTGTTGGGACTTTCAGTGATGGAAGGGGTGGGACAACGTCGTAGGAGAAGTTATTGTGCATGCAACTATGGACTTGGTATACGATGGGACGTGTTGGTGGTGGCCTCAGTTTTGGAGAGACTGTTCAATAAATCCTGAAGGGCGGTATAGTCGGAGCAGAAATGTTGACACTGATCCCAATAGTGAGTCGTCGACATTTTTTCCAGCGGAGCCGCCGTAAATACGGCATCATTGATAAGCATAAGGAAGCCATAGTGGTCCCATTTTAGTGCCTTGGGGGATGCCACAGGTGAGTGACTGACTGGTGGAGAATTCTCGTAGCGCAAGCAGCTTGGCGCGTCGGTTACCGAGGAAGTCTGTAAGCCATGGTATAAGACGCTCCGAAACCCGCTGAGGTCGATAGGCTTTGTTGATGATTAAACTGTGGTCGACTAGGTCGAATGCCTTAGTGAAGCTGGATGGAGGCGACAGCTTCAGACGCTTCGTTTCCTCCAGATGGCGGTATATATGTAGTCGAGAAAGCTGACAAGACAGCAGGAGTGGTGGAGTGAAGTTTTCATATTACCAAATTGTTGAGTATCTACGGTTTCTGCAATATCAGCATTAGCCCAGTCAAACACAAAACGTTCTACAGATTGTTTTCGGGCAAGGGTGTGATTGCAATGGGCTGTAGCTGACGGGTATTGTGGGCTGGTTGTCTTGGACACAGGTGACATACAAGTCTTCAGTCAGCTGGACATCTGGCTTTTATTCGAGGGAAGCATTGATGATGGAGTAGAGGGGTTTAGCAAGCCCTGGGGAGAACTTTGAAGAGTTTCTCTATTGGTAAGTCAATGGGGTGGTGGAGCGTTTAACTTCAGTTTGTCCAGATGGTTTACTCAAATTCTTCTACTAACTCAGTGGAAGGGGCCGGTAGGTAAGCAGGGGAGATTGGTTGTGTCAAGCCGGGGGGAGGCCCGGCATACAGTAGCGAAATGGTTATTTGATTGCTCAGCTGCGTCAACATTAGTGAGATGGCTGAGGAAGGGGAGGGGGTGTCTTATTGTTTAGTCCACAGAGTTCTTTGCTTACTCATGCCACTGACTGATGTTGGTCTGCTTCAGGTGTTGAAATTTACAGTAGTGAGACTTTTGCAGTGTGTATTTCGCGGATGACTCGGTTATGAAGGACCTATTGGTGGTTGTGGATCATTGAGATAAAAGCCTGTCTCTCTGTTGCATAAGTCTTTTGATCCGAGGTGTGATCCAGGGCAAATGAGCTGGGTGAGACCTGACGGACTTCTCGGGGAAGAAGTGGTGGGTGAGCTTCCGTGGTGGTGTTGGTATAATTTATCCATTTGGTATCCACGTCATCCACACCTGGCATAGTACTTCAGTCCATGTGTTTATGTGTGCGTGCGTGTGTGTGTGTGTGTGTGTTAATGCTGTGTGTTGGGGTTGATCTCGATTTCTCTCTCTATTAAAATAAACTGATCATGTCCTTGTAGTTCTCAAAATATACTCGTGTTTATATAAATTAATACTAATGATATCAAATGACTGTTTCTAACACAAGAAAACACGGCAATATATTAATTTTCTCAATAAACACTTCGACCCATTTTTTATTATTATTTCAAAGAGTGATTCAGTAATTCCTTACATAATATAAACCAGTTTTCGTATCGTAAGACTTCTCACAAGCAACTCGTGTTACCTGTTGTTTGGACTAATGCCCTGGAGATGTATGTTTCCTGTCACCTTATTTCTGTGACTAAAGATAGCACGAAATAAACTTGTACTTTTAGCCTTTAGCAGAAAAAGAAAGGAACTACATTGTTGATTTATTTTTATGAAGCGAAAATTTATGTAAATGAAATATATACTTAATAAAATACTTGAATAAAAAAAAATATTCACAAATTCCGATAAGCGTAATACTGAAAATGTGATTTGTAAAGCTCAGATACTGAAGAAGGCAATTTCACTTTGCTCTAACATAAGACTACATTATTTTTTATAACTATATAATAGGACTGTTAATACAGGAATATGATTCTCTATTTACAATGTGAATAAATCTTGGATATTGACTTGTTCTCACTGCATACCTGATTAACCTGAACCCTTATATACTGTAAGACGATTTATTCCTTTTATCCATAGATGGCGCAGCGTCCGACCATTGGGAAGATCCTCGGCTTGGTAGTCCTCTTGCTCCTACCCCTGGCGGTGCAGACAAACAAACTAGGTGAGACTCAGCCACTCATTCTACCAAAGTCGTTCTGAAACCTCTACCTTGTCCTATTAATGATATACAATTTGGATTGTTTCATGGAATACATTATTTAATTATTGACATTTTGGTGGTAATTTTCATCTTTTTAATTGAATCCTCTTGTGTTTTGCAGACCTCGAGCCGCCTCTTGAAACAGTAAGTCCGTCAACACAAATGTTCTGATAGAGGAAAGAAGAATTTGAATGTCCATTTCTTTTCTTTTTAAGTCTAAGTAAATTTAAGTGAATTTATTAATATATGGTTGCACCTCTGGGGAATATGGACCATCATGAGCTATAAGAGTAAGGGAAGATCTAAATATAAACGAGGCATCTTTAGTCGTGACCTCCTGGACCTTGTAATTACGCCGCTCCCCAGTTTCTCCCTCAAGTGTTTTAGTAATTGGCTCACCTCAGCATTATCGCCCTCTCTATAGATGATCTGTCCTTTTTATGAGATAGTCTTGACCATCACTTTTGACCTCACATTACCTCAAATCTCCTGTCATAAGTAGAACAAGAATGGCAATGACCAACAAGTCACACCACAAATCTAACTCTATTAACCTAAAAGGAGAGATCTTTGAAAGACAAGTGATATACACAGAGTAATTTAATGCTAATTTCTCCATGCAGGAAGTTGACTGTACTCCAAAGTCGAGGGTTATGAAATCATACCTGGTATTATGCATGGAACTCCGGGTAGATCCAGCGGGTGAGTACGTTGCATGTCACAATGTATATTTCTTTTGCATCACTTGCAATCTTGGTGTGTGTATGCAAATAAATATAGCAACTAACTCATTACCAGCGATTACTTATCAATTTGCCATTATTTATTATTTTTATGTAAGACTAGTATACAGACCTGACCCTAACATAACCTAACTTTACCTAGCAAAATTTAGAAAGTGTTTTTTTTATCTTAAGACTGTGAATAATGTGGAAAACGAATAAAGATATCTCTATTTGTCAAGAAATTCCCTTGCTTTCTAAAGGTTAGTTGAATGATTATGTTTAATTCGTACACAGCACCGCTAGACCTTCTATGAATATTGTGTGAGTTAAACTACCATCTCTACACTCTTTACGCTACACACCTGTCACCAACACACCCCAACTTACCTGCCTCACCCCTCCCTCCTCTGAGGCATAACTCAACTTCCTTAACATCTCTCCTCCCTAGTAACACAGTTTCTTTCATTGATTTCAGTTTAGATCACTCTATTCTCATCATCCTGACAACACCCTTGTACTGTATATTCAGGCACCTCAGTTTCCTCTTCTCTTTGTTCATATTAATCTTGACTGTTCCTCAAGTTAGTAGTTTTACTTGGTCCACCAGAGAAATGTGCGTTGAACATGTGTAAGATGGAGAGGTCCGGAGATCGGAGGATGTGGGACATTGTTCCAGATTCTATACGTGACATTGTCGAGAAAGGTGAGTCTTTCACTTCCTAGTTATGACTCTCTTGAGTCTCAGTTCATACCTATAGACTGTCAGTAGAAACCAGGCTGTGAAGAATAGAAATTTAACATTTACCAAATTCTTCTGTTATTCGTCATTGTTGCTTATATTTTATTTCTACTTTACCACGGAAAATTAGTATAGATTATTATTTTCTTTCTTTTTTACAGTGCGAGCCACCAGTGAGGACGGAGATTCCAACTAGCGCGTCCCGGGTGAGTACTATATAATACCCATACAGTTAATAGAGGCATGACAGGTGGGCGTAAATCAATGGCCAAACAATTAACTTTACCGTAATGTTGCCCAATCAGTGACAATCACCCTCACCAGAGTTTTACACAGTAGAAAGTGATGTCTTATATCACTGATGCTGCTAAAAGTTATAGAAAAATACTGAGTAGATTATTTTTTTTATGTACAGTGTTTTCCTTTACTATTAATGTAGCCTTTACATGATTGGCATACTCAGCGTACTCGTATGGCGGATCACATAGCATCACTATATACAACAGTAGTAATACTAGTTAATTAAATCACATAAGAGCTTTAGTTAAACTTGACCAGACTCCTCTGCTGTTCTAGGTGAGCGAGAACCATTGTGTGGGTGGTGAGGGAGTTGTTGTGGGTGGTGAGGGAGTTGTTGTGGGTGGTGGGGAGGTGTTGAGGATGATGGTGGAGATGTTGGAGATGATGGTGGAGATGTTGGGGATGATGGTTGAAGTGTTGGGGATGATGGTGGAGGTGATGGAGATGAGAGGTGGAAGTGTTGAGGATGATGGTGGAGGTGTTGGGGATGATGATGGAGGTGTTGGGGATGATGGTGGAGGTGTTGGGGATGATGGTGGAGGTGTTGAGGATGATGGTGAGTGTTGGGGATGATGGTGGAGGTGTTGAGGATGATGGTGGAGTGTTGAGGATGATGGTGGAGGTGTTGGGGATGATGGTGGAGGTGTTGAGGATGATGGTGGAGGTGTTGGGGATGATGGTGGAGGTGTTGGGATGATGGTGGAGGTGTTGGGGATGATGGTGGAGGTGTTGGGGATGATGATGGAGGTGTTGGGGATGATGGTGGAGGTGTTGGGGATGATGGTGGAGTGTTGAGGATGGTGGAAGTGTTGAGGATGATGGTGGAGGTGTTGAGGATGATGGTGGAGTGTTGAGGATGATGGTGGAGGTGTTGAGGATGATGGTGGAGGTGTTGGGGATGATGGGGAGGTGTTGAGGATGATGGTGGAGATGTTGAGGGATGATGGTGGAGGTGTTGAGGATGATGGTGGAGTGTTGAGGATGATGGTGGAGGTGTTGGGGATGATGGTGAAGGTGTTGGGGATGATGGTGGAGGTGTTGGGGATGATGGTGGAGGTGTTGGGGATGATGGGGTGTTGAGGATGATGGTGGAGTGTTGAGGATGATGGTGGAGGTGTCGAGGATGATGGTGGAGGTGTCAGGATGATGGTGGAGGTGATGGAGATGAGAGGTGGAGGTGTTGAGGATGATGGTGGAGGTGTTGGGGATGATGATGGAGGTGTTGGGGATGATGGTGGAGGTGTTGGGATGATGGTGGAGGTGTTGAGGATGATGGTGGAGGTGTTGGGGATGATGGTGGGAGTTGTCGAGGGATGATGGTGGAGGTGTTGAGGATGATGGTGGAGGTGTTGAGGATGATGGTGAAGGTGTTGGGGATGATGGTGGGTGTTGGGGATGATGGGTGGGGTGTTGGGGATGATGGTGGAGGTGTTGGGGATGATGGTGGAGGTGTTGAGGATGATGGTGGAGGTGTTGAGATGATGGTGGAGGTGTCGAGGATGATGGTGGAGGTGTCGAGGATGATGGTGGAGGTGATGGAGATGAGAGGTGGAGGTGTTGATGATGGTGGAGGTGTTGGGGATGATGATGGAGTGTTGAGGGATGATGGAGTGTTGAGGATGATGGTGGAGGTGTTGGGGATGATGGTGGAGGTGTTGAGGGATGATGGTGGAGGTGTTGAGGATGATGGTGGAGGTGTTGAGGATGAGAGGTGGAGGTGTTGAGGGATGATGGTGGAGGTGTTGAGGATGATGGTGGAGGTGTTGAGGGATGATGGTGGAGGTGTTGGGGATGATGGTGGAGGTGTTGGGGATGATGGTGGAGGTACTGGGAATGATGGTGGAGGTGTTGGGGATGATGGTGGGGATGATGGAGATGAGAGGTGGAGGTGTTGGGGATGATGGTGGAGGTGTTGGGAATGATGATGGTGGAGGTGTTGAGGATGATGATGGAGATGATGGAGATGGGGAGGTGGAGGTGTTGAGGATGATGGTGGAGGTGTTGAGGATGATGATGGAGATGGTGGAGATGAGAGGTGAAGGTGTTGAGGATGATGGTGGAGGTGTTGGGGATGATGGTGGAGGTGTTGGAATGATGGTGGAGATGATGGAGATGAGACGTGGAGGTGTTGAGGATGATGGTGGAGGTGTTGGGGATGATGGTGGAGGTGTTGGTAATGATGGTGGAAGATGAGGGGATGGAGTCTGGCTGACATTTAACATCGACAAAAGTTGGTTTATCAAGAACATTTTTCATGTCACTATACTGTACTGTAGGTCAAGAGGAATGGTGATGGCGAACGGCATCGGCTGTACATCGGCTGTACATCGGCTGACAAAATAACAACAACAAAAGTTACTGGGAAGCAATTATGTAGTGCAGAAATAATAAAAAAAAAGAAAGAGATTCCTTGTTCCTCTCAACTACATCGCTGTCAACATCGTCGTCAACATCAACATCGGCGAGAACATCAACACTGGCTACAACATCAACATGGTCGTCAATAACAACATCGTCGTCAATAACAGCATCGTCGTCAATAACAACATCGTCGTCATAATCAACATCGGCGTCAACATCAACTTTGTCGTCAACAACTACATCGACGACAACCTCAACATCGTCGTCAACATCAACATCGGCGTCAACATCAACATCAGCTACAAAATCAACATGGCCGTCAGTGACAACATCGGCGACAACATCAACATCATTTTAAATAATAACATTGACATCAACATCAACATCGTCGTCAATATCAACATCGTCACCTCACACAACAATAGAACTTTATAAAATTGTTTAATGGTAACTTGGCCAGGTGTGGTGCAGAGCTACTTATTTATGCTTGCAATATTTCCCGACCCAAATTTATTTCAATTATTGGATATGTTTTTGTGTTGCACTGAACTCAACATCAAGATATATTATCATAAGCAGTTTTCATAAGATAATTTTACTTTTTCTTTTCTTTCTTTTCTTTTCTTTTCTTTTCTTTTCTTTTCCTTTCTTTTCTTTTCTTTTTCTTGTTTAATAAATTAGATTTTCAATATAGCCATGAAGGCGCTAGTTAATTTCTTTGCCCTTTCAAAGTCTCGACTTGTTGCAGTTATTCTTATGAAAAGAAATCACTAAATAAGTGATATTTACTTTTAGAATTGGTAAAAATGAAGATATTTACATGCGATCAGTCGGTTATGTGCTGCTAAATATATTCAAGTCATTGGAAAGACGCATGCGCCAGGCGTAGTGTCGCTTTTCACCCAGAATACGGTCTAATACCATGAATTCAGCTGTCTCCTGGCAAAAATCCTTCCATGTGACGTCTCGTGTGAATAATGGTACAGCCATAACTCAGGTATATGAAGGCAAAATTCGTCATGTTTTTTCCAATTATCAACATTGATGTAGAATATTTATTGCATTATTTACATTAGTAGTATTATAAGTATTATTTAATTAGCATTAGTAGGATTTTTGTTGTTATAGATTCATTATTGACTATACTCGTATTATGGGTACTATAGCCTAGCTATATTCTGTACATATTCCAACTAGAACTGAGTCACCCCTTTACCTGGCCATTAGCTCTGCCAAAGACACTTAGACAGCTGTTCCCTTTCATGCACGCAATTCTTCCTCAAAGGTAAATGGTTCATTTGAGAGTTACAGCAATTCTGAATACTTCTTATCATATTTTTCTTCATTTCGTTTCTCTATCAAAAGGTTAATTAAGATGATTGCTGTCCTTTTAACCTTTTAACATCCAGAAAATAAATTCTAAGGTGCAGTGACATGTCATTATCCTTATCTGATTTCATAAGTTCCTAGACCAAAAAAAAAAAAACGAATGTCTGTTTTTTATTTGCAAATTTCCGACAGCTGACATTTAACGTTTAGTCAAGAGCTTTGCTACTAAAGGGTGGGGCCCATTGCTGAGCCATGGTGAATATATAGATGGGCCATGGTGAATAATTAGGTGGGCCATGATGAATAACTAGGTGGGCCATGGTGAATATATAGGTGGGCCATTCAAAGTCCAGGGTCAAGTCAATCACAAAGCAGGATACCTCTTTCCACTAGAAGATGAGCAGGCAAAGTTCCTCCAAATCTTCTTCATGGGAGATCGTGAAAAGCAGACTACTATCAGGTGTGGCAATATTCAAGGTATCAGACATGACATTGTCCTATCTATCCAAGAAATGCTGCATGAGCGCATTACGTATGTACAGTCTTAAAAAGCCCTGGAAAACATGCCTTCTGGCGAGTACAAAGTCAGGATCAAAGCAGACACGACCCCTAAGGGAGAACATGAAAGAAGATTCAATGTTCCTGTAGTTGATGAAGTAGCCATCCTGATTGTCGGTCAGGAGTTTGAGAAATGAGACATCATACTCAAAATAAGAGACGAGTCACTCAATAAGAACATGATGCCACATGTACTGGAAGCTACAATGCTGACAGGAAAAGCTAAAGGAGAGTACGTTTTTATACCAAGGATACCTCTCATCACCACTGACCTGCCATTTGAGTTCAAGCGACTTCAGTTCCCGGTTAAAGTGAGCTTTGCCATGACCATCTACAAAAGCCAGGACAGTCCCTAAAGATGGTTGGCCTAAACCTGGTGTTTCCTTGCTTCTCTCATGGACAGTTCTATGTTGGATGCTCCAGAGTGGGAACTGGCAAAAATCTGTACATACTTGTTGCTAATGGCAAACCAAAAAATGTGGTCTACCTTAATGCACTACAGTGAGACAATGAGGAGCCTCTTGGAAGGTGGCGTCCTGCCGTGGCCGAACGAAAGAGCCGCCCGGAGGGTGGCGATTCCGCTAGTATAAATATATAAATATTTATTATACGATTAACAAATGTCATCCTCCAAAATCATTCACTAGACTAGAAAATATATATACAATGATTATTTTAATTTTAAACAAGTGTCACCGGCATTACCAACGCTACGTCACATTCCCCACGTCATATTCACGAAAATAACCGAGGTATAAATACTGCGACAACAGGTGGTCACAGTACACCACCTCCAGTGTTGTGACTAGACACACGCACTTTGTCTTGATTGTCCTGCCTTCAGGTTCCAGTTGTCCACTCACTGTATCACCGCGCTGCTGGCCATCCCCACCTGCTGGTGAGTTTCTTGTTTCATTCTGCCTGTGTTGGTGATGTTGGCGACAGTGTGCTCCTGCTACGACCCATTTGATTGCCAAGATCTTCATCTCCAGCTCAGTTACTGTAAAAGTGAAATCATAATAAATATTTACTTGGATTGTATGTGCAGTATTACTATGGTTCATAGTAATAATAATAATAATAATAAAATTTTTAATAATAATAATAAACAGTTTATTGAAAGAACATGGCAGGCTTTTCCTGTGATCACTCAGTGTATAGAAAATGCCTTGCGAGTCACTGGTCCAATATCAACGTACAGTATTAGTAATTGTTAATTTGTAAACAAAAAAATCCAGCAAATTGCTCTGCTTTTATTATCACTACTATGAATTCACAGGTTTATATATAATATCTAGCTGGATTAAAAACGATTGTTCAGCTGTCTTTATCATAGTTCCATTTGTATAGTCGAGGAAATAGTGAACTATGAATTTTATATGAAATTGAGGATGATTTGTATAAATTTGGTGAAGGATATGTTTTTCTATTTTATGAGGATTATATCAAAGAACAAATAAATACGTTATAAAGTTCCCAGTCCGCTATTTTCAGAACAACCAATGTTACACAAATTGATGAAGATCTGAACACACACACATACACGTTCAACCTTCGTCCAGACCCTTGAGGAAGCAGTGAGGGTGAAGGCGAGGTGTGCCGTTCCCTAGTGCCAATTAACTTAACAGAACACATCCAGACGTGATCAAATAATTCATCTTGGTCAAATTTCATAAAAAAATAGATTTCCCTTAATTTCCCCAACATTAGCTAATTTTCTTGTACTGTATATACTATAAAACTAGTCAACCATTATAAGCACGGTAAATAGGTAAATAGCTCTAGTTCTGACATTACTGTGAGTCAATGGTGAAACTCGACGCCTACACGTTTATTCACATAAGGAACATAAGAACATAAGAAAGGAGGAAACTGCAGCCGGGCTATTGGCCCAAACTGGGCATTCCAATTTACACCCAACCCCTATTGCTCATATATCCATCCAACCTATGTTTGTATTATACTGCGTATTCGAGTTAATGATGATATTTGCTAACTTGTTCCACTCATCCACTACTTTATTTCCAAACCAATAATTACCTATTTCGTGTAAATCTAAATTTGTCTAATTTAAAACCATTGTTACGAGTTCGCTCCTGGTTGGATAGTTTGAGTATCTTTGTAATGTCCCCTTTGTTTAGCCCTGACTTCCATTTATACACCTCGATCATATCGCCCCTTACTCTACATCTCTCTCGAGGGATTGCAAATTAAGAACCTGTCTCTGTACTCAAGGTTCATAATGCCCAGGATTAGTTTTGTTATTCTCCTTTGAATTCTTTCCAAGGATTCTATATCCATTCTTTAATACGGTGACCAGAATTGAACTGTGTAATCCAAGTGGGGTCTCACAAGCCCAAGATATAGTTTTAAGATGACCCAGCTAGATTTGTAACTAACACTCCTTTGTATGAACCCAAGCACCCTATTAGCCTTGTTTCGAGCAAATACACATTGTTTACTTGGCTTAAGATTCCTACTTATCATTACTCCAATATTTTTCTCACAGTCGGATTTCTCAATAACATCGTTGTTCATCTGGTATCTGGTTTCCCTATTTACATCCCCTATACTGAGGACTTTACATTTGTCCACACTGAATTTCATCTGCCATTTTTTAGACCATTCGAAAATTTTTTTTAGATTTTCCTGTAGTTTTGCTGAGTCATCGTCAGATTTAATTACAAGCCCTATTTTAGTGTTATCAGCAAATTTACTTATGTTGCTGTCTACGCCGATATCTATGTCATTTATGTATATAATAAATAATAATGGTCCGAGTACTGAGCCTTGGGGAACTCCATTAATGACATTGCTCCAGTTGGATTTAGTGCCGTTAATGCCCTATAACCACGCCCTAATCCATTTTAGAATATCTCCTTTAATGCCATGAGCCTCCACTTTTCTTATTAGTCTTTCGTGGGGGACTCTGTAGAAGGCTTTGCTAAAGTAGAGATATACCACATCATAATTGTGCCCCTCGTCCACTGATTCGAAAACAGACGAAAAGAATGTTAATAGACTAGTTAGACATGAACGCCCTCTTGTGAAGCCATGTTGGGAATCATTGATCAACTTGTGCTTCTCCAGGTGATTTCGAATAGAGTTTGAAATGATTCCTTCCAGTAATTTGCCTACAATTGATGTTAGACTGATTGGTCGTTAGTTAGAGGATAGTGATCTAGCTCCCTTTGTGAAAATCGGTATTACATTCGCTATACTCGAGGATTCTGGAACTACACCGTTTTAAGGAGATGTTAAACAACTTTGCTTAGGGCATAGTAAGCTCTTCCTTACATTCCTTTAATACTCTGACAAATATCTCATCGGGACCTGGTGACTTATAAGGCTTTAGTTTGTCTATTTGCTTACTACCATCGTTACTAGTCACTACTATTTGCTTAATTTATTTTCTCTATCTCTGCATAAAGTCGGTGCCACGGGTATCACGTTTAAATTTTCGGTGGTGAAAACTGTTGAAAAATATAAATTCAGATTATTGCTAATTTCTCCGTCGTTATCCGTTAGTTCGCCGGTATCTGACTGTATTGGTCCAATCTTTTCTGGTGTTTTAGTTTGATACATTTGATAGAATCCCTTGGGGTTTGCCTTCGCCTACCTTGCTATCTTCAGTTCATTATTCCTCTTTGCTTTTCTTATCTCTGTTTTAACCCTACCGGCCAATACCTTATAATAATCTCGGAGGTAAACTTCACCATGATTTTTTCTCCTACCTATAGCCTTCCTTTGTCCAATAATATTCTTTAACTAACTATTTATCAATTTAGGGTCATTGTTGTTTGATCTGAGTTTTCTGTATGGTATGGTCACAAGAACACAAGAACACAAGAATGGAGGAAACTGCAGCGGGCCTATTGGCCCATACTGGGCAGTCCCGTTTACACCCAACCCCTATTGCTCATATGAGCATCCAACCTATGTTTGAAGCAATTCAGCGTATTCGAGTTAATGATGATATTTGGTAACTTGTTCCATTCATCCACTACCTGTTTCACCATTATTTCGCGCTGTAAATCTAAATTTGTCTAATTTAAAACCATTGTTACGAGTTCGCCTGGATAGTTTGAGTATCTTTGTAATGTCCCCTTTGTTTAGCCCTGCCTTCCACTTATACACCCCTATCAGGTCGCCCTCGCTCACGTCTCTCAAGGGAGTGCAAATTAAGATGCTTTAACCTGTCTCTATACTCAAGGTTCCTAATGCCCGGGATTAGTCTTGTCATTCTCCTCTGAATTCTTTCCAAGGATTCTATATCTATTCTGTAATACGGTGAGCAGAACTGAACTGCGTAATCCAGGTGTGGTCTCACAAGAGCAAGATACAGTCTACCTTTGTGCATTAAGCAACTCTTTATTTAAATTGTTGTGGAACTCGGCAACCTCAGATCTCATTATCAGGTCTCCCTGTAAGGTGAGGTCACCCTCTGTGGGTACATTATGAGAGGTCATGTGAGGTCATGTAGTTCACCCCCAAGCGTGATATCCCTTCTCTCAGCTGCCTCTTCAAACTATCTTGGACTTTAGTGGAATTTTCCTTGCATCTGCCCCGAAATTCTAACTGGCATCTAATTTCTTTGTGATCTGTGTTAGCAAGTTCGTTCCCTACTTCGACATTACTAATGAGGTTTTCTCTGTTTGACAGAACTAAATCGAGTATATTATTACCCCGGGTGGGTTCGGTTATATGTTGGCTTAGGAAACAGTCCTGGATTGTTTCAAGAAAATCCTCTGATTCTGAGTTACCCATAAGGTCAATCCAATCTATTTGGCTAAAGTTAAAGTCGCCTACTATACAGACTTTGCCATGTATGGAAGCCCTGCGCATTTCATCCCAAATAAATCGCTCAGTAACTCTATCAAAATTAGGTGGTCTATATATTACTCCTGTGATTAATTTTTCCTTACCATCGATTAGTTATATCCAAATTGTTTCTGTATTCCGTTCTGTTTTTATTACCTTATTTATTTCACACTTCAGATTATCCCTTACATACAGTAGGTTGCTACTCCGCCTCCTTTCCTAATCTGCCTATCCATATGGAAGAATTTGTAACCTGCAATTTGGTATTCGACAGGTAACTCACGTGAGTCTAGGTTTATTTATGTTTCGGTGAAAGCTATTATATCAATTTTTCGGTACATGCCAACGCCCTGATTTCATGTATTTTGTTTCTTATACTTCTACTGTTTGCGTAGTAGACATTTAAGTTAGTCGTGTTCTGAGTCCTTTCTTTGTCGCGTTTATGTTTTAACTCCCTGCCTAATTTAGTTTTGCCATAATTCCTAGCACTATTTCCCTGTAACCTTTCACTTTGTTTACCTACGCCCACTGCAGTTTCCTCCACCCCCGTGCTCATATGTTCTCTTAGCAGTTTAAAAACTTCGACATCTTTTGAACTGCCCTCTCGAGAGAACCAGCGAGGGTTGCCACCCCATCCCGAGACAGGTGCACCCCATCTAGCATAAAGGTCCCTTCTGCCGTAGAAGTTGACCCAGTTGTCAATGAATGGGACTGATATTGACTTGCAATATCTGTCAAGACGGCCGTTGACACCAACTGCCCTTGACAGCCATTCATTGCCAACTCTCCTTCTAGGCAGGACACCACATATGATAGGGATCCCTCCCTTCCACCTAATACGCCCTATAGCTGTCTTGAACTTATCAAGAAGCTCCACGCTCCTACACCGGCCAATATCATTGCCTCCTGCACTAAGGCAGGTAATGGGTTTGTTCCCATTACCAGACAAGATATTGTCCATCCTGTTAACTATATACCCCACCCCAGCTCCTGGCAAACACACCCTCATCCTATTTTTATTTTTACCACAAAAAGTTCTGTCCAGGTACCGTACCTGGGAATCGCCAACAATTAAGGTTTTCGTACCTTCCTTGTCAGCCTTGTCCCTGACTATGCTAATGTCCAATTCGTCTATCAAAGGACTGAAAGAGTTGATACACGTAACTGTTTGGTCGTCCCTCTCCTCACCAGCTTCCATTCGCCTGAGTTTTCGTTAGACACGGGCTTTCCTTTTCTCGTTTCCTCCTTCATCCTCGCTATCTCTTCGTTTAGTTTCAAGTTTTCTTCCTTGGTCCTCTCTAACTCTGCCCTCAGAAGGGCACAGCCCTGTTCACAAGTAGCACTAGCCATTGCTGACAATTAATCCCCGGGAGCTAACCCTGCCGTGGCCTTTCTTCTAGTGAGGTCAGAAGACTTGTAAGGACCTATTTACGTGTGGGTGTGTGTGTCCACATTATATGTGCAACTGAGTGAGAGTGTTGAACAGTGTTACATGATCACCAGAATAAAACAAACAACATGCAGATAATAAGTTCAAAGTTAACATAAATACTGTTTTTGTACCAGTGTGAATGTGTGTGTTTTTATAAGTTTTTACCTTGAGCTGCAGTACTTGTAAAGTTCCTTATACTCGTATATCACAAATTTTATTTGAGATACCGAAAGTAAAAGTTGGTCACATAGGCATGACTGCCCGTTGATGATCCACTGTACAGTATAATGATACATAACACAGTTGCTACAATGTTTCTGTGTCCCACAATATGTTCTGTTCGGTTTGATTGTCGTTAAAGAATTTTATATTATGATCACTCTTGCCATAAGTTTTAAGGGCTATTCATGCCCTATTTTCTTAAAGATCTATAGATGTTGTTATCAAGAAACTTGGGATTTTTCCTGAAACGACTATTAGATTTGAGTTTCTCAGAATACTGCGGTAATGAGTGAAATGTTCTGTGTTTAGCACGACATTCTATTTCTTATTAAAGGTCTCTAATAAGACATTCTAAATCTTGTAAAAGGTCCAGTGCAATAGTCTATAATATGTTGAGGCTCCTGAATATATGTAACTGAGATGTGACTTAGCATTGCTGATTAAAACGTCCTGTTATCGGATTATTATTAGTAAGGTGTTAGTCTCTGAAGTAAATTATCACGTATTCTCCTGACAGGAATGTGGTCGATACCTCGAGTAGCGGAGATCCCCAACCTACTGCTGGTGCTGTCCTGCCTCCTGGTGCACACCCACGGCTTCAGTAAGTCTCTCTATTTATCTCTCTTTCTATCTCTCTCTCTCTTTCTCTCTCTAACTCTCTCTTGCATTCTCTCTCTCTTATACATACAATATTTCATAAGTGAAACCTAGGGCGGTCAAACATTATTCACTCTATGTTTTGATATAATGCGGGTTTTCTTATAAATTCTTTCACGAGTAAACAAATCACATGAAAGTTAAAACATAAAAATAATCTTTCTCCAAACCAAATAATTGTTGTGAATTCCTAATTCTGTTTAATCAAATTCGAACATGTACGAGGAAGACAAACAAACATAATATTGTTCATAAAATTTTCAGCGGCTGGGCAAATTTTAGAAAAACGTTCAGGGAGACAGGAAATAGCTGGCCAGCGTAGCGACCTCCGTATCCTCAACCCTGACGAAGATTGTGACGATGAAGAACCAGAGGTTCATGGAACGTGTTCGTGCTGCTACGGGAACGAATTCTACACACATGGGTCAGTTGTCCACACCGACGCCAAGAAGTGCATACAGCTAGTGTGTCACGACGGAGAGATTGTCTCCAAGTACACCGGCTACTACTACTGCAGCTCTTGTAAGTAGAGTGCCGTTTACACCCACACAACTGATAATTGGAATAGTTTATCTTCGTCGCTTTTAATAATCTATTTAAACAATCGTTCTTCCTCTCTCTCAAACTTAATCAAACTTAAAACTCATCACATCTCCGTTTATCTCACGTCAGGTTGTGAGTACAATGGACAGCTGTACAATCACAATGAACATCTGCCACTGCCGTGCGGCTATATGAGGTGTTCATATGGCAGCTGGTACGTCTACGACAGCATCGACCACTGCTGTAAGTAAACCCTTGTGGTCTTATGTTCAAATATTTTGTCAGGATATATATATATATATATATATATATATATATATATATATATATATATATATATATATATATATATATATATATATATATATATATATATATATATATATTTACGGAGTAAGAGTACTACCATCGGTAATCTCTATCTCTCTTACTTGACTGTCCAGGCTCCCACTGTATACTATATGATGACATCCACATCGTCACCTTCGACAATAGATACTACGACTTCCACGGTCACCTCAACTACTCCCTCGCCCAGTCCGACACATCGTACAGCCCAGAGGTGGGCGTATTTGCTGACTTCAAGCCATGTTCGTACAGCGGCCTGGTTTCTTGTCTCGACAAGGTCACATTCAGGGAGAATCCAAACACCATCGTCACCATCGACTACAGCGACTTGGGCACTGTAAGTGCAGTGATTACATAAAACTGATGAATATTACTTCTTTGCATCTGAATCCTGTTTAGTATATAATTTTTCAATGTACACTTTCAGTATTAAATGGAATGGACCTGAACACGAAGAATAAACTAGAGCTGAATACATTATTGGTACTACTTACCAGCTGACTGATCATAAAAAAAAAACACCTGCAGGCCTGGCTACGGTCTCTAATACGTAATCATTTGTTACACACGACCAGATTCAAGTGAACGGAGAGTGCTACAGCCTGGCCAGATTAACAAACTATTGGTATGCCTATCCGCTGGAGGTGAACGGCGTCACCTATCCGATAATCGTAGTCAAGATGTCCTTCGATTGCGTTAAGTTTGTTGGCCACACTTCCAAGATCACGGTGAGTGGTACCTAGTGACTGGCCGCTGTGGTCGTAGTTATCAGTGGCTCTTGTTGGGAGAAGTCTTTGTTAAACACCCAGGTGAAAATGCAAATGATTATCTATTTATTTATCTATCTATCTATCTATCTATCTATCTGTCTGTCTGCCTGCCTGCCTGCCTCTCTCTCTCTCTCTCTCTCTCTCTCTCTCTCTCTCTCTCTCTCTCTCTCTCTCTCTGTCTGTCTGTCTGTCTGTCTGTCTGTCTGTCTGTCTGTCTGTAATTAATTACCTCCATCGAACGGCTTAAATGACCGTCACTTGTACAGTTTATTTAGCTAGAAAAACACAGATACAGAGTCGATAATAATAGCAATATTAACATGGCTGACCCAGTTGAGAACCTGAGCTCTATTGACGGCACCTGATATATACTGTACATTATTTCAAGGAAGTATTATGTGACATTTAGTATCTTCTGGAATACTACACATAACTTGGTGGTAGTAAGAACATATCAAAATGTTACCACGGTTATCACTTCGTTATTTATCTATTTATTTATTTAGTTAGTTATTTTTTATTTTTTTACATTTGTATTGTTAGTATATACAATTTTTACAATGGTGTTGATATTCAGAAATATGATAAGGGAAAGAAGTAGTACATCATGGGTTGTATTAAGGTGAAACAAGAGGACAGAGTTGCCAGTATTATGTCTAGTCGTCAAATATAATTATTTGAATGGTAATTTCTATCCAACTAAATGCCAATTTATGATATAAAGTAGGTATTACAAAAATATTAATACTTAGGCAATATATATTTTTTTAAGAGATGATTTAAAGGAAGGGACTGTAGTTTTTGCTCGGAAGGGTGGGGGTAACTTGTTCTATACCTTCACACCATGGTATTTTATGGAGGTCTGGGACTGAGAGGAGCGCATGGGGGGTGGTCATAGTAGCTCTGGGTGTTTTAAGTTTGTATCTCTGATTATTTGGGAACTGCAAATAATTATTGTCAATCAAGTGATTATTCGCTAGTGTGGTCAGTTTTTCAAGTAGATCATTGTCCGCACAACTCCCTTCAGTGCAATAAACAGAGGTTGTGCTTTTGAAGAACCAGAGGCCCCCATAGTGTGTGACAGTGTATCAAGTGTTGGTAAACAAAATCATAATAGTTTTTTTCATTGCTGCAAGAGTGAGTTACTGACGACTGTGATGCAGTTTCTCATCAACAAAAACCCCAAGGAATTTAGTATTTTGTTCAGTTTTGAGGATTGTATTACCAAGGTACAGGGCGTCCAAATCTGGGAGTAGGTTTTCCTTTTGTAAAGGATTGTGTAGTGTTTTTTTTTCGAGGTTTAAGATCAGTTTATTACGTATTACCCAGGTCCTAAGTCAATTCAGTGTTCATAGCTCTCACCAAGGGTTGAAGATCTGAGTTGCTGGCATAAAGATTGCTATCATCTGCAAATAAGCTGTATTTTATGAGTATGCTGGAGTGGACTATATCGTTCATATACAATAAGAACATTACAGGACCGAGAATGGAGCCTTGAGGGACGCCATATAAAATTTTTGAGGAGTCAGATTGATGATTATGATAGCAGACAAAGTGCTTCCTGTTAGATATGAGGTAAACCAATTGTGGGATAAGCCCCTAACGCCGTAATGTTCAAGCTTTGCCAGGAGGATGGTCGACAGTACCAAAGGCTTTAGAGAGATCCAGGAATATTCCGAGTGTGACCTGATTGTCATCATAGGAGTTGAAGATGGTATTAGTAAAGGATAGCAGAGCACTCCTAGTCGACCTTCTAGCTCTAAATACAAAATGAGAGTCTGTAAGGATGTTATTGACACTGCAGTTGTATAGGAATATAAATGATATCTGTTGTAAACATGTAGTAGAACATAATGACTGTCACTTGTAGTACAACTTAATGATCTGCCATCTCTTGCTACAGTTGATAGTCTGCCCACACCGTGTTGACGTGTTAGCCCACCCGAGCCTCTCTGACGGTCTGGATGGTCTTTGTGGCCACTACAACAACTACCAGAATGACGACTTCACCAGCCGCTCTCTTACCGTCTATCCTTTATACAAATACCCTCTGGACTTCCCGCTTTCTTGGCTGGTACGAGACCATGATAACTATATTGGTTTTCTTTCTCAACCTATGAAAACTATTCACGTGAATATCTAATAAATTGGCATAGAATTTGCTTTAGGAGTGTGGTGTGGCAACAAGTGTTTGCAATACTCTTAACTTGTCTTCTGTCAACGGCAGACAAACGACCAGTGTGGCGAGGATTATCAAAGTGACTGCCCTGAGCCTCACCTGGGATGCTCTGGCGCATATACGGTGAGTATATCGTGACTTACCTCATAATACCTTACTCTGCTGTAAAGTTACCACACAACACCTTACTCTGCTGTAAGGTTACCACACAACACCTTACTCTGCTGTAAGGTTACCACACAACACCTTACTCTGGTGTAAGGTTACCACACAACACCTTACTCTGCTGTAAGGTTACAACACAACACCTTACTCTGCTGTAAGGTTACCACACAACACCTTACTCTGGTGTAAGGTTACCACACAACACCTTAATCTGCTGTAAGGTTACCACACAACACCTTACTCTGCTGTAAGGTTATCACACAACACCTTAATCTGCTGTAAGGTTACCACACAACACCTTACTCTGCTGTAAAGTTACCACACAACACCTTACTCTGGTGCAAGGTTACCACACAACACCTTACTCTGCTGTAAGGTTACCACAAAACACCTTACTCTGCTATAAAGTTACCACACAACACCTTACTCTGGTGCAAGGTTACCACACAACACCTTACTCTGCTGTAAGGTTACCACACAACACCTTACTCTGCTGTAAAGTTACCACACAACACCTTACTCTGCTGTAAGGTTACCACACAACACCTTACTCTGCTGTAAAGTTACCACACAACACCTTACTCTGCTGTAAGGTTACCACACAACACCTTACTCTGGTGTAAGGTTACCACACAACACATTACTCTGCTGTAAAGTTACCACACAACACCTTACTCTGCTGTAAGGTTACCACACAACACCTTACTCTGCTGTAAAGTTACCACACAACACCTTACTCTGCTGTAAAGTTCCCACACAACACCTTACTCTGCTGTAAGGTTACCACACAACACCTTACTCTGCTGTAAAGTTACCACACAACACCTTACTCTGGTGTAAGGTTGCCACACAACACCTTACTCTGCTGTAAAGTTACCACACAAACGCCTCTGCTGTACTCCTGCTGTAAAGTTCCACACAACACCTTAACCACCTTACTCTGCTGTGTAACGTTACCACAACACCTTACTCTGGTGTAAGATTACCACACAACACCTTACTCTGCTGTAAAGTTACCACACAACACCTTACTCTGCTGTAAGGTTACCACACAACACCTTACTCTGCTGTAAGGTTACCACACAACACCTTACTCTGGTGTAAGGTTGCCACACAACACCTTACTCTGCTGTAACGTTACCACACAACACCTTACTCTGGTGTAAGATTACCACACAACACCTTACTCTGCTGTAAGGTTACCACGCAACACCTTACTCTGGTGTAAAGTTACCACACAAAACCTTACTCTGGTGTAAGGTTGCCACACAACACCTTACTCTGCTGTAACGTTACCACACAACACCTTACTCTGGTGTAAGATTACCACACAACACCTTACTCTGCTGTAAGGTTACTGCATTACACCTTACTCTGGTGTAAAGTTACCACACAAAATCATCCTTCGGTGTTAGATCACCATCCAAATCAAGTGTGGTTTTACAGCAATAGTACTTGTGAAACAATCTGTTAAATGATTGAAGTCTTTATTCTGAAATAATGTTTATCTTGGCGGTTGTCTGCAACAAAGCTGTATAATAAGTTCTTCTAACAACATACTTCCTCGACAACAGCTCACTTGGCAGTAAGATCAACACAGTATAGTTTAAGATGGCAGATAATGGGAGCCCCTCTCTCTCTCACACAGTTCTCACCGTGCATGGCGAACACCAATGAAATGTATAACTACTACTGTCAGTGCTTAAATTACTTGTACTTCTTGTTCTACCTTGAGCATGATCTTCATCACCTGCGTACGTATTCATAAAGATTTTGTGTGCTTCTTTTCTCGAGGTGTGTGTGTGTGTATGTGTGCGTGTGTGTGATAGCCAATGAAGGAACAATGTTTGTGTCCTCTTGATTCCGGCCATCTTGCGTTATGGTGGTAAACGGCTTCAAGAACTAGAAAAGTTAATACTATTACTATTACTCTGGTCTCCTACTTAATTAACTTACACAATGTTTCACACGAGCTCGTGACTGACAGATACTCACTCGCTGGTGTCCACAGAATCGTGTGTCTCTGACCTCTGCATGTTGTACCAGAACGGCCAGAGCAGTTACGTCAACACTTGGCTGATGACCCTGAAGGACAACGCTGACACTAGCTGCTTTTTCTACTATAACCATGCAGGTCAGTATCATCGCTCTGCAAAAGATGTTATAATTTTTTATTTTTAATTCATTGAGACGGTGAACGTTATACTTAAAATTGAGGAATTGTCACCTTTATGAGAAGGAAAGGCGGTACAACCTAAATTAACCTCTTGTTTATACTCAACTGAAAGACATATGTCAAGTTTTCTCATTTGAATTATTATATTAATAATACTGGTGAAATATTACGCACACAGACACACACACACACACGCGTGTGTGTGTGTATATATATATATATATATATATATATATATATATATATATATATATATATATATATATATATATATATATATATATATATATATATATATATATATATATATATACTGTGTATTTATGTCGACGAGAGATGCGTTGAGCTGGCCATTGAAGTGTCGCCTGAATAGTGTGCCATTTAGTGGCTACAACTACAATGGTCACACTTGACAATATCCATGGCAGTCCTAACATCAGTTGTGGTTATAAAAACGAAAATGCCAAAGTCAAAGATCGCTGCTCAATACAGATGCCACCCAGCATGAGTTGGTTCCTTGTTGGAGTGGCGACTCCCGTAATTTTTTTTTTTTTTTTACGGGAATTAGCTCACCCGGGCACAGGTCAAACGACCCACAACGGAGCCTGGGGAGAGAAAAAAAAAGAACGGAAAGAAATTGAAAATATAGAAAAAAAGGCTGTACTGTATTAATCTACACCATGAAGATGCCGGAAAATTAGCTTTTTAAAGTGAGACAGATTGTAAGAGCATGGAAACACAGAAGAAGGCAGAGAATTCCACAGTTTGGCTGTGTGAGGAAAGAAGGAGGTACTATAACGGGTTATTCTCGTGTGACCGACATCCCCAGAGAAATGGTGGGCACCGCAGGCAAGACGTGTGTTACGAACCCACGGCCTTGCCGGCGGTACACAGGATGCCAAATCCACTGAACATTGCCCGTTAAAGTACCTGTAAAAGAGAGTGAAGCAACATTGCGCGAAGAGAAAGGGGAGAGAGATTGTCGACTAAAGGAGGAGAGTTAATAAGACGAAATGCCTTTGATTCCACCCTATCTAATAGTTGGAGAGAAGAAGAGCCACCCCAGATATGAGAGCAGTACTCTAAGTTAGGACGAATGAATCCCTTATATACTTGGAGCAACTGCTCAGAAGTGAAGTAGCTGCGGCATCTGTACAGCATTCCCAACTTTCGGGAGGCAGCTTTAGTTATACTAAGGATGTGTGATTTCCAGGACATATTGGAGGAAATGGTGAGGCCTAACATATTTATATCAGAATTTGGGAGGATGATAGCGTCCTGAAATGTAATTGGTGGGGGATCGTCTAATTTACAAAGTGTAATTGGTAAATATTGAGTTTTGTTACTATTGAACTTAACCAAGTTTGTATCTCCCCATTCAGAGATGCTGCACAGATCCGCGTTGATAGAAGTAATGATATCAGTTCTAGAAACAGATCTAGTTTGAGAGTTAGGAGGAAGGGGGAAATGTGAGGAAGAGTGAAGAATAGAATCATCGGCGTAAGAATGGATAGAATTAGTTGTAGTGTTAAGTAAATCATTGATAAAAAGAAGGAAGAGAGTTGGTGAAAGAACAGAACCCTGTGGGACGCCACTATTGGTAGAGAAAGAGCGAGAAATCGATCCCTCGACAACAACTGCCATGGATCGATTTTCAAGGAAGCTAGAGATGAGAGAACAAAGTGGGGGAGAGAAACCAAAAGAGGGCAGTTTAGATAGCAAAGACTTGTGCCATACCCTGTCAAATGCTTTGGAGATGTCGAGGGCCACGACAAAAGTTTCCCCATAATCCCTAAGAGAGGATGACCAAAGATGGGTGTAATAGGAGAGCAGATCACCAGTAGATCTCGCCTGGCGAAAGCCATACTGGTGATCCGACAAAAGAGAAAGGCGTTCAAGGTGACGGAGAAAGTGGGAGTTCAAGATAGTTTCGAAAATCTTAGAGAGGGATGAAGTTAGGGCATTGGGGCGATAGATAGAGGGATTAGAATGGTCACCCTTCTTCGGGATGGGCTGGACCAAGGCATGCTTCCAAGAAAAAGGAAAAGTTTTGGTTTTGAGGCAAAGGCGAAAGAGGCGAGCAAGCACAGGGGCCAGGGCTTCAGCACACTCCCTCAGAACACGAGGGGGTATTTCGTCTGGTCCATGCGCCTTACTCACATCCAACCTGGGTAACACACCGGCAACCCTGCGAGTGGAGATTATAGGAAAATGCCTAGGTTCGGTAGGAGGTGCAGGGGTAGGAGGGATAGAGTGTTAATCGTCTAAGGTGGAATTAGAGGAGAATAAGGTGCCAAAGATTTTGGCTTTGTCAGGGGGAGAGTTGGCTATAGAGTTATTGGGACGGAAGAGAGGAGGAAAACAAGGCGTGCAGAAGTTGTTACTCGGATAAAATCTTAATATTTCTACACGGAAGAGTTCGTAAGTCTTTATTTATTTTATGTTGAGAGAAGCTTTATCTGCAGGGCAAAATATTTTCCGTTCTTATTTGTAAACGATGCACACTTATTAATTTTTGTAAAGGTGACTTATAATTCCTCATCCTTTTTTCTCTCTCTTCAGATTTCTCTAATGGGTGGCCAGCCTGAACATATGATTATGAAGCGAAGTATTATGCATTTACTATGGTCTGGACGAAGAGAAGGTGAGCTGATCTCTTGGTGTTTCCAGTAGCTCTTGGCTGTCTATACTTCTTTTTCTCATTCGTATTTTTCCAAATTTTTTCATTGTTATTTCTTTCTTTTAAATCAATCATCTTTACTATCTTGCCTTTCTCCATCATTATGTTCTGTATAAGGGTTAATATACCATTGCTGAATAGTTTACATCTATGAAGAGATCATTAAACTTTGAATTCTTTAAAAAAATGTCAAAGTTTCTGCTATGAAAATGTCACATAATTATATGGTTCGATATATGTATTATGTGTTTCTCAATTTCTTACCGTAGAGTTAGTTACCTTCACACTGGTTACTTACAGGAGATTATGGTGCATCTACGTAGAAATTCACTCCAGCACCCGACATTCCAAGTGATTTTTAATTGATAATGATGATTTAGTGATATCCATTACTTTACAACATCCACCTAAGTTATTGGTCATAATTTGTCATAACCAATCAGTCATTACCTTTAGTAATAATAAGAGAGGGATCACAGATACGGGCAGATAATTACACTTGCATTTATTTGGCAAGGTTCCAAACAATGATTTACAATTTGCATGTATATATGAGTCACTCACATTCACGCCGTAATAAAATTAATCTTGTAAATAGGGAATTGCCAACCTGGGGACGCACAATTGATTTCTCTACTATAGTATGACTTAACAGAGTATTATTTCCTAAAGTGATACATCCACTGCCAGTCTGGATTGCTCTTGTTGCAATCAAATTTCCACATGTGATATTTCCACGGGGAATAACAAACCTTGGGTTGGCACAAATAGTCTCTTGTCACTGACAATCATTGTAAACGGTATCGCTCAGGAAAATTCTGTGTAGCGTCCCATACCCTTAAGGCAGGGGAGCATGAGGTCTTGACTAACCCAAGGTCTAGGGCCTACTGACTAAAACTGTGGTTTTGGGGCGTGAGACGTGATGAACATTACAACACTGTCTCAACCCCCCTCCCCCATCCATAGACTGGCTCACTTACCCACTAATTAAATAGTGATGACGGAGTCATGGCTTACCTGGTGTCTTATCTCCCATAAAACAAACATTGAAGTTGGGTTGCGCGGGTAGGCCCAACGCAACCCATGAAAGAAAACTGTATTTTTTATTTATTTAATGAATTATCAAATAATTTCAGCCAAATTTTAAATCAATAAGCAGAAGGTTAATATGGTCAGCAATGGTACCTAAAAAGTAATTACTAATATAAGTAAAATTCATCCATTTTAGTACATTACTACAAGAAGGAACACCAGAAGTGAACGTGTGAAGTGGACGTTAGACATGAACTCCACAGTAAACAGCTGAGGAAGACATCGCGAGTGAACAGGGACAACAGGAACCAACAGCAGCAGTCAACATCGGAGGTGAACGGTAGTCATAAGCAACAGAATCTGTTGCGTTTAAATGCCAAATATTAACACCAAAAGTGAACAGTATTGAACAAGCTCTGAACACCGCAAGCACCAGTAAGACTGTTGAACAAGACAATATGATAATCAATTCCCTGGCGTCAGTTGTCGAAGTCGTCCCAAACTTATACCAACGATTATTATTAAGTCACCAGTAATTCCTCGCCGCGAGACATGAGAAATTCTCGTTCACCCAACAACTGAAACTAAAACTGAAAATCCCTTACCACCGACTAGTGGAGTTTGCTATTCGAAAACATCTGAAATCAAACCAGAAATTATCAAATATTTGGAATCATTCGTTCAAAATTTCCAAACATCTGGAGTCCTAAGTAAACATTACAAAACATCTGGCATCATACTTTAACATTCTTAAAGATATGGAGTTAGGGTTTAATAGTTATAAAAAAGAAATCAACATCCCAATTTAGTTACCCTCTTCTTCATAATATTCACATTTACTGTAATATTATTATATGAACTGTTGTTATTATTGTTAAGATGTTAGCAACAATAAATTTGGATAGTCAGTGCCAGTGTCTTTTACTTTTACTTAAATTATCCTCTAAAATTTCTTCCGAGGGGACTTGAGTGTTGTGCGTCGCCTTTAGTAATGACTTCTACTGTACATTCTACACATATTTCCTACGTCTTTATTTTTAATGTTTGTTTAAAGATTCCATCAAGTTGAGCTTGTGCTGTAATGAAACTGTTTTAGTTTTATTTAATTTAATACCAACACTGAATTTTCTGATGTTCAAAAATATATGTTATTATGTGAGAGAAATGTGTTACAAATAATTTAGATGCCCTTTGAAATGTAAGAGAATGAGTTTAGAGAAAGTGAGAAGTAAACATCCGAGATCAGCAAATAACACGTAAACGTATAGGAAAATCTTTAAATGTTCATGTTAATGGTGATTGTTAAGTAGCCTAAAGTATTGTATGGACTAGTATAATGACTGATAATCATTTTGAAATAATTTGTAAGCTTTAAATTGTTTTAACTCAATGAAAAATACATAAAGGATGTGGATATCGTGTGAAATGATTCTAAGTTATCTTTATAAAAATATAATTTTTTCAGTATAAGTGGTGTTATATTTATAAATAGTAATTACAAGATAGTTTAATGATTAGAGACTAAGAAAAGAAGTAACACAAATTGTACTATGATGAAACTGTCAATTGATTTGTATTTTAATACAAAATAGGGAGTCACTCGTCAATAAAGAGAGACACTTGTCAATATAGGGAGACACTCGTCATTATAGAGCCACTCGTCAATATAGAGTCACTCGCCAATATAGGGAGTCACTCGTCAATATAGAGCCACTCGTCAATATAGGGAGTCACTCGTCAATATAGAGAGACACTCATCAATATAGAGCCTCTCGTCAATATAGAGAGTCACTCGTCAATATAGAGAGACATTCGTCAATATAGAGCCTCTCGTCAATATAGAATCACTCGTCATTATAGGGAGTCACTCGTCAATGTAGAGAGACATTCGTCAATATAGAGTCACTCGTCATTATAGGGAGTCACTCGTCAATATAGAGAGCCACTCGTCAATATAGAGAGTCACTCGTCAAAATAGGGAGTCACTCGTCAATATAGAGAGACACTCGTCAATATAGAGTCACTCGCCAATATAGGGAGCCACTCGTCAATATAGGAGTCACTCGTCAATATAGAGAGCCACTCGTCAATATAGGAGTCACTCGTCAATATAGAGAGCCACTCGTCAATATAGAGCCACTCGTCAATATAGGAGTCACTCGTCAATATAGAGAGACACTCATCAATATAGGGAGCCACTCGTCAATATAGGGAGTCACTCGTCAAAATAGGGAGCCATTCGTCAATATAGAATCACTCGTCATTATAGGGAGTCACTCGTCAATATAGAGAGCCACTCGTCAATATAGAGTGTCACTCGTCAAAATAGGAAGTCACTCGTCAAAATAGGGAACCACTCGTCACTATATGGAGCCACTCGTCAATATAGTTAGTCACTCGTCAAAATAGGGAGCCACTCGTCAATATAGAGTCACTCGCCAATATAGGGAGCCACTCGTCAATATAGAGTCATTCGTCAATATAGGGAGCCACTCGAAAATATAGGGAGTCACTGGTCAATATAGAGCCATTCGTCAATATAGAGTCACTCGTCAATATAGGGAGCCACTCGTCAATATAGGGAGTCATTCGTCAAAATAGGGAGCCACTCGTCAATATAGAGTCATTCGTCAATATAGGGAGCCACGCGTCATTATAGGGAGTCTCTCGTCAATATAGGGAGTCATTCGTCAAAATAGGGAGCCACTCGTCAATATAGAGTCATTCGTCAATATAGGGAGCCACTCGTCAATATAGGGAGTCATTCGTCAAAATAGGGAGCCACTCGTCAATATAGAGTCATTCGTCAATATAGGGAGCCACTCGAAAATATAGGGAGTCACTGGTCAATATAGAGCCATTCGTCAATATAGAGTCACTCGTCAATATAGGGAGCCACTCGTCAATATAGGGAGTCACTCGTCAAAATAGGGAGCCATTCGTCAATATAGAATCACTCGTCATTATAGGGAGTCACTCGTCAATATAGGGAACTTCTCGTCAATGGGGAGGGCATTCGTTTAATTAGTGGGGCCTCAAAGTATGGCAGGGTTTTCTATTGTTAGATGTTAGTTTAATTCTTAAAATGTAAATAAGGTCGACAGTACACAATGAATGTCTGTCACTGTGGAGGTGTTTCTTGGGGTAGACAGACAGACTGATAGATAGATAGATAGATAGATAGATAGATAGATAGATAGACAGATAGATAGATAGATAGATAGATAGATAGATAGATAGATAGATAGATAGATTGATAGATTGATAGATAGACAGATAGGTAGGTAGGTAGGTAGGTAGGCTAGGTTAGATAGGTTAGGTTAGGTAGGTAGGTAGGTTAGGGTAGGTAGATGAAAAGACAATTTAATCAGAGCAAAGGTGAATATGGACTAACACCGGAGATATTTAGGGCAGTCATCATCATTTTAATCAACGTAATAACCACTTCATCACACTGGATACCAATATTCTTTTGCGTCCCCGCTTAATGTCGTGAAATTTCAGGTTTGACAACAAATCATTTTCTTTCAGTTAGTTACTTTAAAGAAGCTTCCCCCTCCTAATTGTCAATAAAAGTCTATTCATTAAAAAAACAAAAAAAACACGAATTTCTATTTTATAATTTATGGCATTCAAGTTTAATTATATACAGTTTATCTACCAAATAAAATTTATATTCTCTATGACCCGGTCCCCATGGTCTGCATAAGCCATGGACCACAGCTGGCTCCTCTGACGCAAGCGCAGGAGATTCAGTGCTCACCAACAAATTGCTCAATTAATAGTTACATCTAATCTGAATGCTTCTTATCATTTTTTTTCATGTCATGACTTTATAAAAAAGAGCAATTGAATGTTAGATGTCTATTCAACTATCTAACTTCGATAAGATTTAATAAAATGTGTAGAAACTCCAATATCCTGATCTATATTATTAAGTTCAGAGACGAAACACGTGAAATATTGTCTGTTATTTTTTTGCAACTTCCCTTTCACATTTGGTCAACTGTCTACTAACGACCCTGATAAGCAGTGGGTGGGCCATGGTCAGCACTATTTGGGCACGATGAGTAATTGGGCCATGGCTAATATCTAGATAGGCCATGGCGAATATATAGTTGGGCCATGGTGAATATATTGGTGGGCCCTGGTGAATATATACTTGGGCCATGGTGAATATATTGGTGGCCATAGTGAATATATAGTTGGGCCATGGTGAATATAGTGGTGGGCCATAGAATTTTACCACAAACATGATATACGTAACGATATTAATGAATCCGATAATTAAAAAAGAAAACGTAACGCTTCTATTGTGTATTATAATTTTGTTGTTAATTAATTATCTTCGGTATCACTTGGACGTGGAATTTGCATATTATATCACTTAATTGCCTTTTGTTTTAATTTCAGTAGATTATGGAATCAGTTCCCAGAGTTTTATACTGAACTGAACTACTGCTTGTTATTTTTGTTATAATACGTTAATATATTTTGACTTAAGCCAATTTGCTTCTCACGAGTAGTGTAAATATGGGTCATGGGGTTATTCGAATCAACTGTAGTGAGTCCTCTCCGGAAAATCTTGGGAACCATCGAATACTTAATATCTTACGACGCTGAAATATGGTATAAGTGAACAACATAGACAGATGTATTTAAGGAAAACAAATTAAACACACACACACACACACACTATCTCTACCTTTCAGTCACTCACCTGTGGCGTCCCCCAAGGCACCAAGATGGGACCACTATGCTTCCTTATACTTATCAATGATGCCCTAAGAAAAACCCCTGCTCGCTGGAAATATGTCGACGACTCCACCATTGGGATCAGCGTCAACAATTCTGCTCCCGACTATGCTGCCCTTCAGGATTTATTGAACAGTCTCTAAAACTGGGCCACCATCAACCATACCAAGACCATGGTTATGCACATCAACCTCTCCGACGTTGTCCCACCCCTTTCCATTACTTTAGGTCCTTACACACTCCAGGTTGTAGATTCCACTAAGCTCCTGGGCGTCACCATAGACAACAAACTAAATTGGAAACCACACGTCAGTGAAGTTGTCAAATCCTCCAGTTTCTGTCTCCACCTTCTCCACAGACTCAAGTCCCTCGGAGTTCTTACACCTGAGCTCCTCAGTGTTTACTTAACATTCATACTTCCCAAGCTCACCTATGCTTCCCCTACCTGGTCTTCCTCCCTAAATGCCACACAACGTAAACACCTAGAAAAAGTGCAAAAGAGGGCATGCAAGATTATTCTCTCCCCTTCCTACTCCACATATCAAGAAGTGCTCAACACACTGATCCTCTCGGCTCTTACTGACCATCACCACGACCTCATCTGCAAATTTTGTGAGAAGCTTCTGCACCATCCTCGACACCGGCTCCTACTACCACCTGAGATCCCTCTCCCGAGAATTGCTGTTCGACACCACAACCGCATCCAGCCCATAAGAGCACGAACTGATCGCTATAAGAACAGCCCAGTCCCAAACAGCGTAAAAATTATCAATAACTTGTAATAAACCAGTGTATTCACTCCCAGTAAATCCTACTTTTTTGCACTGTCACTATGTTGAAATGCCCTGCAGTTTGAGCTTCTCCCAACCTAGTTATTATATATCATATTTGCTTTCACGTACGTTAATTGTATATTATTTGCAAATCAAGAGACCCATTCCCCAATTATGTAACTGTATATTTTCAGCCTTCCGGCTGCTATGCTCTTTCAATAAACCGTTAATTATTATTATTATTATTATTATTACACACACACACACACACACACACACACACACACACACACACACACACACACACACACACACACTTGGGACACCCACGCCAGAGCTGAGGACCATCTGCAACGCCTTTATTCTCCCCAAACTAACGTATGCATCACCAACCTGGTCGTCTTCTCTCAACTCCACACAACAACGTCAGCTAGAGAAGGTAAAGAAAAGGGCCTGCAGAATCATGATCGGCGCAGAATACTTCGGCTACACCAACGCTCTCTCCACTCTGGAAATGCCATCCCTCAGTGACCTCCACCGCCAAGCACTGGAAAGGTTTGCCAGCCAACTAATGCACCACCCTCGTCATCGCTACCTTTTGCCACCTGCAGCCCCCCACCCACCTCGAGCAGTCCGCCACTACAACAAAATTCAGCCCATAAGAGCCCGCACCGATAGATATAATAATAGCACCATCCCATCTATTGTTAAAATAATAAACAACTCCTGATTTATGTACTGTACAGCCCTGTAAATGTATTCAATGCATATTATATCATTATGTCTAAATCAAATGTAAATCTGTATATTTTCAGCCAACGGCTGCAACTCTATTAATAAACCGTTTATTATTTTTATTATTATTATTATTATTATTATTATTATTATTATTATTATTATTATTATTATTACACACACACACACACAACCCTGTAAATGAATAAAATGATCGCTTATGGTGTGAATACAGTCAACATATGGTCGTCTCCAATGAACGTTCTATACGCCATTTCGATGTGCAGTCTAGTAATGGATATGGATAAATCTAACGAGTAATTCTTACAATATCAATTCATTATAAACTCCTAATAGAATGTCACTGAGGAGCAAACTAGATTATTGCTATGTTCAAATTTCTAAGAACTAGGAATGAACAATAAACTGAGCGTTAACGATAAAGTTGTTTTGCTGTACTTTTGTAGTTTTAGTGCAGAGATCACACGTTATTTAAGGCATTTCACCCAACATGATTACTGTATCTTATCATTGGGATTCTGATAAACGAACACCTTACAAGCGACCTGCGTTTGTTGACGCCCAAGTCAGCTGAAGGAACGCCCACCTACCATCTTGGTTCATCAACTGTCTTTATTCTGGAAGCGTCATATATTATTTTTCATCTTAACTATCAAAATGAGAACGCAAATCTAGTTATGATAGTTACAGTACAGTGAAATTTTGATGCCATTCTGACCGACATCTTAGTGTCGGAGGTTGAGAGAGTCATGCATAACTCTCATAATTAATGGTAAGGAATTTATATCAGACGAGTCTCCTCCCACGAGTCTCACTTTAAATAGAATTGATATCCTCAACCGATATCATGTCTGAGGCTTTTCACTTTTCATATATAAAAAAATACTATTCAGTGATCCAAGTTATTCACTTCAAGAATTTCATGTATGACCCAAAGACTCAAAGAGAAAGCATTCATGAAATCGCATATTTCATGAGGTAAGAAATGTGAAGGCCAAATTCTAAAGATTTCTAATGCTCAGCAGAAAAAAAACGAATCATATTTTTTGCGGACATACACGTTTCATTTCTTATCAGCATGTGCGTGTGTGGCTGTGTTTCAGTGTATGGTGGAGATAGCCTGCATCGTTTTTTATTCTTATCATTAAACCCACATTGCAATTCATCTGGACAGAGGACAATTTTAACACCTTCTAGGAAACCTAAGATTGTTTAAAGTTACTTAACTCTTCCTTCGTTATGTCAAATATAATGTTCCTCGTCGGGATGTTCTTTCTACAATCACTCTCTCAGTGGGTTTACTGCTAAAAAGAAATACGCCCTTGTAAATTATTTTTCTTCATTTTTTTTTTATGGGACGCCAACAGTGTGGTGGTAGTTAAAGTGACAGAGACTTCTTGTACTCACGTCGAAAATTTTCTTCGTAGGTAATATAATACATTCATAAAGTATCTTAATATACGTAGTTATTTTATAAGCTCTCGTAAACGTGTATAAATAACCAGAGGTTATTTTTTTGTTTACACCAGCGGAAGTCAAATGCGAGAGTATATTACTATATTAACAAATATCTTAAGTTTTCTACTTTTATATCCTGAACCTCAAATGAACCAAAAGTGCTTTATTTTGAAACCATTGGCATAATAACACTTTATTTTGTGTACGATGAGTTATCGCTAAAGTTAGATTAATTTTTTTATGAATTGAAGATGTCAATTATGTTTGTTTTTTTATTCTCATTTGACTTGGCATTTCTTCCCCAAATAAAGTGACCTTTTTCAAAAAACAAAAACAAAAACATATACAGCAATAAAACATTCAATGATAAATTATTCCGGATATTGCTCTTGTCTTGATGTGGCTTCTTTGATAAGCATTTGTTTTATTCCAGCTTCGATATGTTTGATGTCTTTACTAGTTTTAATGTGGTTCGGCAAATTGTTAAATACTTTATCGTTGTAAAAGAAGAGCGTTATTTTGGTTGCCGCGGACATCAGATACAATGACACTGCATTCGCTTACCCTAGTGCCCTGCCGGTTCATATCCTTAATCCTGACAAAGCTTGTTGGAAAATACAATGGGCACATCTCTGTGAAAAGTCTGAAAAGGTGATTCAGTCTCAACTGCCACCACACTCAACATATCCATAATTTGCAAAACTCCGTAACCAGTATGATCTTTTGTACGTATCCAGAACAGAGCTTCACCATCTTGTTTTGAAAAAAAAAATGTAGTTTAGATTTTAGTGGTGGGAGATTATTATCCGTGTCAGGGAGGGCAAACTGTGACAATCAAGGCTTTACGTTTTATATCTAACTCGAGCGAAGTGGGGCAATTTTGATCAATAGTAGTACCTGAAGTCCCTACAAACTGAGAGTAGCGACATAGGCGGTCTCGTGTTCACGCAGCTACTGGATGCCATCTTGACGCCACCGAACCCCTCCGTTAAACGTTGACCTTTGGAGTCACACAGATCATATTCCTGGTAGGAAGTGGACATACTGTGTAATGTGAATTGCAGTGCTGCTGTGCCATAGGAGAAGGGACTTAAACTGTACACATTTCCTCCAAACCCAAAAAGAAGGAAAATATGGGTAAACAAAGTCAGTCGTCTGGATTGGAAACCGTCTCCATCATCTTATTTGTGTCAGGTATGTTTTATGGCTGTGTTGCCATACATTAAGTGAGCAGGTTCAGTAGGTGAGAAGCTCATTCTTATTTTCCATAGAAATCAGAATAAAATATAAGAGATACGTGAGGAATAAGGACAGATGAAGAATCCGTGTAGGCTTAAAATTTACACGAGCAAATTCAAGTCGCTAATTATGCTTTATTTATTTACCCGTGTTTTATATAAGCTGTGTCCTTGAGTTATTCTTGCCTGACTGAAATATTACCTGCATCAGCCTTCTAATTGTCATAACACTTTGCAGGAACACTTCGAGGGTGATCAATTTGAGAACAAGCGAGTAGATGGCAAACGGAAGCTCAAATGGACTGCAGTAACGACCTTCTCACCGCAGTGTTCTCAAGCGTCGTAGGAAATCTCCTGTTATGCGAAACCTCCCTGGCTCTTCTACAGAAGAACATATGAAAAGTTATGTTCAATCTGATCACACATACTGTGACATGCAACCAAGTGATAAGGCATCGAATGTCTGTAAGTTTCCATTACAATATTATAGAGTATTGACAAATTTTATGTATTTGTATTTAATACTATCTATCTATCTATCTATCTATCTATCTATCTATCTATCCGCCCGTCCATCCATCCATCCCTCCATCCATCCATCCATAGATAGATAGATAGTATTAAATACAAATTCATAAAATTTGTCAATACTCTATAATATTGTAATGGAAACTGACAGACATTCGATGCCTTCTCACTTGGTTGCTCATATATATATATATATATATATATATATATATATATATATATATATATATATATATATATATATATATATATATATATATATATATATATATATATATATACATACTGAGAGTAGCGGCGCTACTCTCAGTATGTAGAGACTAGTTACTGGAGTGCACAACCTTGGGACGCATGTACTAAGTTAAAGTTAAAATCTCCAACTGCTTACGTTTCGAAACTTTGGCTGAAACAGACAGACGAACACACTCAGAGACGGAGATACAGACAGACATATGCACCGTATTTGTATGTGTATGTGTTTTATTTAACCTATAATTATTATAATATGAGGCTATAGTTATAAGATTCTTCCTATAGAAATGGCCATTATACTAAATATAGAAATGTTTTTGTAAATATTAATCAAGTTTGACCGGCAAGGCATAACATTACCAACAACACGTCACTATTCACACGTCACATCCCCGGCAAGATCAGAGGTATAAATACTGCTGCAACGGGTGGTCACAGTACACCTCCTCTGGCGTTGTAACCAGACGCACCTTGTCCAGGTTGTGCTGCTTCCAGGGTCCGGTTGTCCACTCACTCCACAGCGCTGCTGATCATCCCCACCTACTGGTGAGTTTCTTGTCTCATTCTCCCTGTGTTAGTGATGTTGTGGTGACAGTGTGTTCCTGCTACGACCCATTTGATTGCCAAGATCTCCATCTCCAACTCAGTTACTGCAAAAGTCAAATTATATTTACTTGTGACTTGAATTATGTGTAATACTTTGTAGACTTCACCAGCCCGCTAGTTTCAGTATTGATCACTGTTCCATAAACTGATGGAGATCTAAACATACACACGTTGAGTCTTAGTTCAGGCCACAAATTAGTATCTTAACGTAGCAGTGAGGGTGGAGGCGAGGTGTGCTGTTCCTTAGTGCCGATTAACTTACGGAACACATCCTAAAATACACAAATGACCCAGTTTGTTAAGATTAAATACATTTTAAACAGAAAATGGCGCTCGCTATGATATTAATTTAGTGTGTCTGTGTGTGTGTCTGTGTGTTACTCTAGGTTTCTCACTTGAATTGCGATACTCCAAGAATAAAGATCCTCTCATGTCAAGGACTTACTCTACCTTCTAAAAAATAAACACTTGGGAGTTTTCTATCTGGAGGACTAAGAAGGACAAAATTATAAGAACTTGTCTTAATACGACAAACCAATGTAATTAACTTTGCTCTCCATGTTTGTCACATTCATTTCATGTTGCCAGGTTTCTTTCACAGATTTTTTATTTGGTCAGCTTGATTATCGTCAATGGAGTTTATGTATATTATTATAACCCTTCTAGTAAACTTAACGAGCATTTGTGTCCTATTTTTTAAACACTGTTTTGCGCAAATGTCATCAATAAATTATCGAGCTTTTCTCCTGACAGTGATGTTGTCGACATCTCGAGGGGCGGAGGTCCCATACCTCCTGTTGGTGCTGGCCTGTCTCCTGGTGCACATTCACGGCTTCAGTAAGTTTTTCTTTCTCTCATACATACACTACTTTTGAAACTAACCCTATGGCATTCAGACATTATTCACCCAATCCACTTTCTTTTTTCATAAATTCTGTCAGGTTTACGTCTCCTGTTAGGTGAGCAAATCACATGAAATTAAAAAAAAAAGGTTATTCTCACAACAAAATAAACGTTGTAAACTATTAATTCTGCTGCATCGAACTCGAATACGGAAGAGGAAGACAAACAAACACTTTTAATATTGTTCGTAAAAATTTCAGCGGCTGGGCAATCATTAGAAACAGATCCAAGAGCCGAGAAACAAACAGTAACATCTGAAACAGCTGGTCTCGTTCGTATCCCCAACCCTGACGAAGATTGTGACGATGAAGAACCAGAGGTTCATGGAACGTGTTCGTGCTGCTACGGGAACGAATTCTACACACATGGGTCAGTTGTCCACACCGACGCCAAGAAGTGCTTACAGCTAGTGTGTCACGACGGAGAGATTGTCTCCAAGTACACCGGCTACCACAGCTACTGCTCTTGTAAGTAGAGTTCTTTTTACACCCACACAACTGATTATAGGAATACTTTCTCTTTAGCGCTTTTAATAGTCTATTTAAACTAATCTTTCTCTCTCTCAAACTTAAAAACTCATCACATCTCCGTTTATCTCACGTCAGGCTGTGAGTACAAAGGACAGCTGTACAATCACGCCACGTATCTGCCAATCCCGTGCGGCTATATGAGGTGCTTATCTGGCAGATGGTACGTCTACGACACGATCGACAAATGCTGTAAGTAAACTCTAATGCTCAAATTATTTAGAAAAACTATTTAAATGTACTGTATGAGAACAATACTATTTATAAATTGAGTCTTCTGAAACCTACCTCTCCCTCTCTCTCACACACACACTATAGCTTCCTGTCCATGTCCATAATTCCAGGCGGTCACTGTATAGCATACGATGACGTCCACATGGTCACCTTCGACAATAGATACTACGACTTCCACGGTCACCTCAACTACTCCCTCGCCCAGTCCGACACATCGTACAGCCCAGAGGTGGGAGTGTTTGCTGATTTCAAGCCATGTTCGTTCAATGGCCTGGTTTCTTGCCTCGACAAGGTCATATTCAGGGAGAATCCAAACACCATCGTCACCATCGACTACAGCGACTTGGGCACTGTAAGTAATTATTATTATTATTATTATTATTGTTATTATTAGCAAAATTGCCCGGCTTTGCTCGGGTTAGATATACAGTCTATACTGTAGAGTATAACTATGATTGTCATAATTTGCCGTCCCTGACTCGGGTAATCGCCTCCCACAACCGTCGTCTGTGGTCAATAGTAATACCAAGTTGTACAATTTTGGGTTTCATGAGTGTAAACTTGTAAAGTTTCAGGTCATTAACTGCGTCTTTTTCGTAACTATGACTGGACCAGACAGACACGTCGTTTTATTGGTTTTGATAGATATATTATTAAAATGATTAATATTAATATCTGTAGTAGCAGGGGTATGTTCATTCTCATTACCATATTTAATGAAGTATAGAGTTTATCAATAATACTGTACTGTACATGGTATAGCTACAGTACAATAGAGTTTCCATTTCCATTAAAATAACATCAGAGAAGAATATTGTTATCCATGATTATCGCTATATTTAACATTCATAGAAACAATCATTATAATGCTGTACGACTTTCCTACGTCCTATTAGATATAAAACCAACTATTTATTATTAAAACAACGACGGTCATCTAAAGTTAACTGAGGTAAAGGTTATGAAAAATGTTTTTAGGTGATTAATTGATATCAGAATCGAAGAGAAACAATTATTGTCAATAATTTATATATTTGTAAAATTCAATGCATAATTTCATAACCATTTCGAACACCACCTTCAGGGAGTTGCTCTCCGTTCCCTGGAGAGACGAATGCAGCATTAGTCACCGTTTTGTTACCCAATCTGGACTATTGCTATATTTGGCTGTTGGTCAGTCAGTACACTTTTCATCCTTTCCTCTCCTCATAAACTACAAGTTCACATTTGTTGAAACATTTCACAATTGTTTTTTTGCATAGTCAACTTTAATGTCATCTGTGTTAAACAATACTGATTATAACACGAAGCTTATAATACTTCGCTATTATACAATACTGATCATACACACGTTGCTGGTCTGATTACAGTCATTAAAATGTAAACTTTGTGTTACACATGACCAGATTCAAGTGAACGGAGAGTGCTACACGTTTCCCACCAGCATGCCCTACAGGTATGCCTATCCGCTGGAGGTGAACGGCGTCACCTATCCGATCATCGTAGTCAAGACGTCCTACAATTGCATCAAATATATTGGCCTCACTTCCAGGATCACGGTGAGTGGTCCCGACTGACTGCCCGTTATTGTGAGTGACTTTTGTGAGTGGTCATTCACTCGTGTCGTTCCCTATAACTGGCAGATGAGGTCGTAGTTATCAATGGCTCTCGTAGGGAAAAAAAATATTTGTTTAAGGGTGGCCTCAGGTGACGGGTATCTCGAAGGCTATATTAGTTACACACCAAAACCATGCAACTGATATATTTTCTGTGGGAAATTTCTCTCTCTCTCTCTCTCTCTCTCTCTCTCTCTCTCTCTCTCTCTCTCTCTCTTCCATTACTTCAATAGAACGTAAGTGCCTGTTCTCCAGTTGTATTAAAAATAATTAACTTATTGAGAGTTGTACGGGAATAAAAATATTATCTGATGTAGACTTGAAGTACAACATAATGATCTGCCATCTCTTGCTACAGTTGATAGTCTGCCCACACCGTGTTGACGTGGTCGCCCACCCGAGCCACTCTGACGGTCTGGATGGTCTTTGTGGCCACTACAACAACTACCAGAATGACGACTTCACCAGCCGCTCTCTTACCGTCTATCCTTTATACAAATACCCTCTGGACTTCCCGCTTTCTTGGCTGGTACGAGACCATGATAACTATATTGGTTTTCTTTCTCAATCTATGAAAACTATTCACGTGAATATCTAATAAATTGGCATAGAATTTGCTTTAGGAGTGTGGTGTGGCAACAAGTGTTTGCAATACTCTTAACTTGTCTTCTGTCACCGGCAGACAAACGACCAGTGTGGCGAGGATTATCAAAGTGACTGCCCTGAGCCTCACCTGGGATGCTCTGGCGCATATACGGTGAGTTTATCGTGACTTACCTCATAATACCATACTCTGCTGTAAAGTTACCACACAACACCTTACTCTGCTGTAAAGTTACCACACAACACCTTACTCTGCTGTAAAGTTACCACACAAGACCTTACTCTGGTGTAAGGTTACCACACAACACCTTACTCTGCTGTAAAGTTACCACACAACGCCTTACTCTGCTGTAAGGTTACCACACAAGACCTTACTCTGCTGTAAAGTTACCACACAAGACCTTACTCTGCTGTAAAGTTACCACACAAGACCTTACTCTGCTGTAAAGTTACCACACAAGTCCTTACTCTGCTGTAAAGTTACCACACAACACCTTACTCTGCTGTAAGGTTACCACACAACACCTTACTTTGCTGTAAAGTTACCACACAAGACCTTACTCTGCTGTAAAGTTACCACACAAGACCTTACTCTGTTGTAAAGTTACCACACAAGACCTTACTCTGCTGTAAGGTTAAGACACAATACCTTACTCTGCTGTAAAGTTACCACACAACACCTTACTCTGCTGTAAAGTTACCACACAAGACCTTACTCTGCTGTAAAGTTACCACACAACACCTTACTCTGCTGTAAGGTTACCACACAACACCTAACTCTGCTCTAAGGTTACCACACAATACCTTACTCTGTTGTAAGGTTACCACACAACACCTTACTCTGCTGTAAGGTTACCACATAACACCTTACTGTGCTGTAAGGTCACCACCTTACTTTCGTGTAAGGTTACCACACAACACCTTACTCTGGTGTAAGGTTACTACACAATACTATTCTTTGGTGTTAGATCACCACACAACTCAAGTGTGGTTATACAGCAATAGTACTTTTGAAATAATCTGTTAAATGAATTGATATTTATCTCACTTGAAGTCTTTAATCTGAAATAATGCTTATCTTGGCGGTTGTCTGCAACGAATCTGTAGTATAAGTTCTTCTAGCAACATACTTCCTCGACAACAGCTCACTTGGCACTAAGATCAATACGTGATCATTGTATAGATCTATATGATAATAGCTATAAAAACAGAATAGTTAAAGATGGCAGATAATGGGAGTCTCTCTCTCTCTCTCTCTCTCTCTCACAGACCTCACCGTGCAAGGCGGACAAAGGTCAAATGTATAGCTACTACGTTCGGTGCTACAAATACCTGTACAACTATGTCTACAGAATTTCTGATCTCAGGCATTACCTCTGTAAGTATTCACAAAGGTTTTGTGTGCTATGATTACTTGTTTCTCAGACTCTGTGTGTGTGTGTGTGTGACAGCCAATGAGGGAACAATGTTTGTTTCCTCTTGATTCCGGCCATCTTGCGTTATGGTGGTAAACGGCTTCAAGAACTAGAAATCTTAATACTATTACTATTCCTCTGGTCTTATATTTAATAATTTACTTACACAATGTTTCCCACGAGCTCGTAACTAACAGATACTCTCTTGCTGGTGTCCACAGACTCGTGTGAATTTGACCTCTGCATGTTGTACCAGAACGGCCAGGGCAGTTACGTCACCACTTGGCTGATAAAACTAAGGACCAATGCTCTCTTTAGCCGCTGGCTCTACTACAACACTAAAGGTCAGTACTTAGAATATTATCTGTGCGTTTGTTAAAAGCTTTGAATTTTAATCCAGTAATGTTAATACTTAAAACTGAAGAAGACTTTCCTCTAAATGTATACTGTACAACTAAGCTGTTACACGTGTATTGTGTTGTTTTATTGCTTGTTTGATGAAACAGATAGACTACGAAAATACCGCGATGAAATGTTATTTTGATAGGTGCTTTGAGTTGGACACTCAAGTGTTTTATAGCAGTAACTGGATACGACAAGAATATTCACTAGTAACTCAAACAATAACTCTGTCAACCATTCCGTTTACTGTGGTTTTAAAAACAAAGGTCGCAGTTCTATAAAAATAACTATACAGTACAGCATGTGTTGGCGCCTTGCTGGATTTGGTAGCTCCTTGGAGCTGCTCTAATGAAGTTTTAGTATTTCAACGAATAAAAGTTATCTTAATGAAAAATGTTTTTTATTCCCTTGCGAAATTATTGCTCGCCATTATTAATTTTTGTCAAACTGATTTAATTTATCGTCCATTTTCTCTGCATCATCAGAAATCGAGATATAATCATCCTCATCCTCGGGTCGTTAGAGATACAGACCTCAACCCGGGACGAAGTAAAGGTGAGATGATCTCTTGGTGCCTCCTGTAGCTCTTGGCTGCCTCGAGAGGTTATATCATAGCCCTGTTTTCTGTTCTCCCTCCCACACACTCAACACCTTGCACTGTAGTCTACAAACTGGTTCACACACACACACACACACACACACACGCACACACATACACACACACACACTAAAATCATGTCAAGTGAACTGCTTGCTTTTGGGAGGTGTTGAATAGCTCTATCTCCTACTCCTCTTCCTTCTATTTTCACGCATGTGACCTTTTTTTCGATTCACCTTCCTTCAGTACACTAACTTACGGAGTTCCACATCTCGTCTTTTAATTATTTCATTTAAACCATTTCTATGTTATCTTGCCATCTTTCATCATCAAATTCTCCTCTCTCAAGTACTATACAGAATACTACTGATTAGATGAAGTATGTCTTAAAATAAGTGATCTCTATGAATAATTTATCTTATTACTTCATTCACTTAAAAATAGTAAAATTACTGTTTTAGTTCAATGAATGATCAAAATATTTGTTCTAAAATTTAAATCTTTAAGTCCTATGTTGAAAAGATCACCAGTGTTCCTACAAATTGAACTTATATAAGTAAAATTATTCAATTTTATTACATTACTACAAGAACGAAGACCAGAGGTGAACGCGTGAAGTGGACGTTAGACATGAACTCCACAGTAAACAGCTGAGGAAGACATCGCGAGTGAACAGGGACAACAGGAACCAACAGCAGCAGTCAACATCGGAGGTGAACGGTAGTCATAAGCAACAGAATCTGTCGCGTTTAAATGCCAAATATTAACACCAAAAGTGAAGAGTAGTGAACAAACTCTGAACACCACAAGCACCAGTAAGACAGTTGAACAAGACAATATGATAATCAGTTCTTTGGCGTCAGTTATCGAAGTCGTCCCCAACTTATACCAACGATTATTATTAAGTCACCAGTAATTCTTCGCCGCGAGACATGAGAAATTCTCGTTCACCCAACAACTGAAACTAAAAATCAGAATCCCTTACCACCGACTAGTGGAATTTGATATTCGAAAACATCTGAAATCAAACCAGAAATTATTAAATATTTGGAATCATTCGTTCAAAATTCCCAAACATCGGGAGTCCCAAGGAAACTTCTCAAACATCTGGCATCATACCATAGCATTCCTAAACATCTGGAGTTAGGGTTTAACATTCCCCAAAAGAAAAACAACAACAAAACATCACCTGGCAGCACATTCACTATCACCCACCAACACCACCAAAACTTAGGTCACCCTCATCCTCTTTATAATATTCATATTTGCTGTAATAAACATATATGAATTGTTGTTATTATTGTTAGAGTTTTAGTAGCAATAAATTTGGTTAATCAATACCAGTGTCTTTTACTTGTACCTAAATTATCCTCTAAAAATTCATCCGAGTGTTGTGACTCGCTTTTAGTAATGACTTTTACAGTTTACACATGTTTATGAGGTCAACGATTTTTCACTCTAGCTTTCCCATTTGAATTTTCTTTACACTGACCTTGTTCGATTCTTTACAAATTAAAACTTATTTAATCGCTCTCACTTACATAATCATCCCCAGATCGTTTTAAATCACTGACTTAGTCTCAAGTGCATTATGCCGCCATGAGTTAGATATACAATATATATACACTTGCCCTTCCTCACCTTCCCATCATGGCACAAATGAAAAAAATAGCTGACCTTACATTGTCCTGGTGTACTCCCATATTTGTTTCATCTCATTTACCGTAAATATCACTTGTCTTGCACTTGTATGTTCAAAAATAAAATAAAATATAAAATTGAGATGAATCCCTGGACGTATTACATAAGCCAAGCATTAACAAGTCTTCTCAATGCAATTAATATTAAGTCGATGGCTAGCATTATTATGTGTGAACACAAGTGAATAATGATGAAAAAGGTGTACAATATTTGCACAACAACAAAAAATCAAGTATGTCGGGGTTACCTGTTGTAGGTTCCAGTATATTCTTTATTATTTTCAGTTTTCCATGCGCTTGTATAACAGCTCATCCCAACTCTCCCGATAGTTAGCTCCTCTATCAGTTGTTTAAACTTCTTCCATTGTCAAAATATTTTCATTTTGTCACCCTTGCATAGTAATTTTATTAACATGACTCACTAAACTAGAAATTCAGTGACGCGACAGATTTTTCAATATCGATGGAAACAGTGCATTGTTTTAACCAAACAAAAGTGAGCTGAAATAAGCTACGTCTTCCGAGTATATTGGCTCCTAATGTCAGCCTAAGTGAAGAAATTAGGGGAAAGATAATGAAAAAGGGACAATTGAATTGTATTTACCGACTAGCAACAAATACAAAAGAATCAATAAATGATTATTGCATTATATTAATTTCTACCTGGTGTTTGATTCTCTAATTAGAAATTATCAGAACTTAAAGAACTTATTACCCAAAGTGAATTAATGTTTCGGTTCAATGAATTAGTTTTAAAATGTGTCACTCAATCTCCCGAAATGCACCAAACTGTGTGTGACAACGGACGCCCCCACCCCACCTCCTCACTACCTCCCCTTAGAGAGCGACACGAGTTGGACCTCACAGGGGCATACCCAGGGGGGGTTTCCTGGTTGCCCAGAACCCCCCCCCCCCGGCCATCATCAAGATTATTATCCTCTGTGACCGTCATAACATTTCTCTGCGAGGTCACAGATACAATACTAAGGACGTTGGCAGTGATGGGACTGCCAAACATGGCAACTTTCTGGCCTTCCTTGACTTCCGTGTGGAGGCTGGAGACAGGGTTCTGGGAGTGCACCTAGGTACAGCTTCCAAGAATGCTCTGTACACATCTTTGAATATCCAGAACCAGTTGTTTCGCATTTGTGGAGAACAGATAAATGACCATATCCTTCAGAAGGTGAAGAGAAACAAGTTTTTCTCTATCATAGCTGATGAGGTCACTGACTCTGCCTGCAAAGAGCAGCTCAGCATGGTGTTGAGGTATGTGGACCCTAATGACCACATCAGTTAGGACCTGGTGGACTTTTTGGAGTGTGATAGAATTATAGCAGATAAGGTGATAGCCAGCATCACAGGGTATGGACTTTACATCAACAACCCTAGAGGTCAGGCCTATGACGGAGCTGGCAACATGGTTGGCAGCTCCAAGGGGGCAGCAGCTATCATAAATGAGACCAACCCCTTGGCCCTCTACCAGCACTGCTCATCACATGCCCTCAACCTGGCTGTTGTTAAGTCCATCCAGATCACCTGTATCAGGAACATGATGAGCACCGTGGACAGAGTCTCAACTTTCATAGAAGGGCATCCCAAAAGTGCATATACCGTGGAGGCAACTGTCCTAGAGACCCAACCTGAATCAAGGAAACACAAGCTGAAAAATCTGTGCCATACACGTTGGTTGCAACGCCTAGATGCTCTAGAAACCTTTGTGGAGTTACATCTCTCGGTGGTGGCCTGCATGAAGGACACTGTGGAGGGTGGTCCTGGCAGCTGGTCTGCAGACTCCCTGACTGATGCCCAGGCCCTGCTGATCGCCATCACCAGCACAGACTTCAATGTGTCCCTGGTGATCACCAATAATGCACTAGGCTACCTGAAAGGTGTGACCACTAGCCTTCAAGCACAGGCCAGGGATATAGTTGAGGCCAGCAGAGAAGTTAACTGTGTGAAGCAGTACTACAAGACGTCCGAAACAACATGGATGATCACTGCACTGAATGGTTTCGTCAGGCAGAACAACTGTGTTAGGCTGTAGGTGGTACACCTTCCATGCCCAGACTCTGCAAACGCCAACGACAGTGAGACAACACGTCAGCTGATGGACCAGCTGAGTACTTCAGGTAGAACGGTGGCCATTCCACTCCTAGGCAATCTCCTGGCAGAGCTGGAGATGAGGTTCACCTCCTTGCACCAGAAGGCCTTCCAAGGACTCAGTGTCATCCCACCCATCTTGGTAACTCTGATACCAGCAGAGGGCAGCAGAAGAATACAAGAGCTGGTTGACCTCTACGGGGAGGATCTGTCATCTTTTGGCAGTATCAAGAGTGAGGTACACACCTGGCGTGCCAGGCTGGAAAAAAAATGCCAAAGAACCGGGCCCCACCAGCCTTCCATCCATACCGGCTCAATAAATCCATATGTATTATATATTTGTGCAAATTAAATATGCCCCTGAAACCCTTCTAGTAAGAATTGTTTCTCTATCGGTAGTGCTCTGTAGTTTGCCATGTTGGCTCCTCACCTCGCTCAAATATTTGGAAACCAACTTACCCAATTTTTGGGTGCGTCTCTGGAGCCACACCTAACAATAAATATTTGCCATCTGCAAATATTGACAAATACATCCCACTTTTTGGAATATCATGATAACTCATAAAGAAAGTATTGAAGATGTGAGCACAGCAATGACATGAATATAAAGTTCGGATTATTCAAGTTACGCGACCCATTACTCTAGAACCTAAAATGTTGTTGATATTCTATGTTGAAACATTATTATTATATTTTTATTTTTTTTTGGGGGGGGAGGGGGGGCTGGAATACTTGCTGCTCTTTTGATAGGGAACTCAAACCCTGAGATACTATCCACGTTGGCAGTGAGTAAGGGACCACATGATATGGTTACGATTCGGATTAGGAAATTTAATTTACACCCTTTGATTGAAAGCTTCCAGTCTTTTCGATTAGACAGTCCATGGCATAAGTTCAGCTATATATCTAGGGTCCCGGTGTTATTCGTCAGGTCGTTAATGTATTTATTTCGGTCGATATGAATGCCTTCAAGAACACTTAGTTTTGTTTTGACCACGGGTTCGTAAACATTAACTGACGAACCAAGGGTCAAGCGTTTCAATATATTCGAACCGATATATTTCAACTCCTGAAACTAAAATCAACGTCAAGAGAACTCTTCAGAAGTTCGTTATACAACTTTCGTTCACTGCCTCAGGGATGTATTACACCAGTTCTCATATTGCATTGTTCATGTGATGACTGAAATACTTCAACACAGGTTTGAAGCGATGTAGTTCAATATTTTCTAAGTAGTTAGTTCATAGGTATCGACAACGGAAGTTCGATGCAGTGTCATTCACTGGTGTCAAAGACACAGTCACCTCGATCGTCAACTTCTGTTTCTACTGCGCAGTATTTTCAGTTTCCGTTTTATCCTCGTGATGGTCGCATGGGAACACATATCCCGGAAATTCTAGTGATGAAAGGCAAGTATTTACATCTGCCAACAAAAGGTAACTCGTAAGGTAAGCTTAACATACAAGAAAACGACTCGGACAACACGATTCTCTCCAAGTGCTTGGATGCAATTTGCAGACAACATTGTAAACAATTGTCACAATGAAGGACATGACGGATTTGGTCTGCCTGACTACTTTGCTGCTTGGCTTTTGATGAATTTGGTCTGGGTCGGCTAATTTCACATACTTATCAACAAATATCAGAAAACACATACAAGATCAGTTTGTTTATGAATCGTATATTTAAGTCGTCAAATCAGTGTGGTACTTCGGGCGAAAACCTGTCAACGACCTCATTACATATATCCTCCAAAATTGTTTTGACAGAAAGAAACACTTTTATTTTTTCATTAACCCTTAATTTCCCAATGCTCTATGAAAATGTTACAATATGGTTACTACTAAACTAACGGTTCTGTGAATGTTGAGAATGACGAGGAGGTCTTACAATAAAAATTGGTCAAATTGTAGATTACAGCAACCAAAGAATTTTATAAAAAAAAATGTTTTTCTTATGTCTTATTGATGCAATCGGTTCAATTCTGACATTCGTTTTTATCGGAAATCACTCGTTTTGGATTTATCTCTCCCCCCTAACAATAATGGGGAGAGCGTGGGAATTCGGGGGATCTGGGAGGTGGTAGAGCCAAAATGAGTGATTTGTGGTAGAAGCGAATTCTCAACTTGTCCGATCGCAACAAAAAAACATCAGAAGAACTCTTTACGCAACAGGGTAAAGGTGTAGAAGAGGGTGGCCACCAGAAGGAATTTTCCGAATTGCTTGATATTTTTCCTACACACTAATATGAAGATATTAAAAAAAAATGGAAACGACAATGCATAGAACCTGACCTAACATACCCAACCTATGGGTTTATTAGGTCCGGTTCTATTAAGTAATATGCATTATCGTGCTAACTTATGTGTTAAACAACTTACCTTAATATTGAGGTTGATATACATCAGCAATGGCGAGGAGGAATACGTGGAAACGTTCACCATCATTTGGGAAACGTCTATTGAAAAGGTTTTTCAGCGAGATAAACGACAAAAATGGCCCTGGGAAGAGAATTGTGTAGCGGGATAGAGTAAATAAAA